GGAATTACAACAGGTGAGATGATTTGTGCTGTTAAACAAGTCTCTCTCACATAAATAGGACCATGAACACTTGTATTGATCAGACTCCTGAAAATGTGAGGTTTAAATCAATTTTCTTGAGTTTTCAGACGACCTTAAAACTTATCTGTGTTTGCTAATGTGTGCGTTGTGTCTCCATGGTAACTGCTGAACATTTCGCCAAAACAATACAAATACACGTAGAACACCCCCAGCGCGAAAGTATCAATTCAAAACTCAATTGTAGTGTTCATTCTACAGAAGGATGGAACGCATTAAGGTCACACTAAGGTTTACACTGAAACGAATCACCGTATCACCGTCTCGAAAACGATTTGTATCGGAAACGAACTGCGTCCAGACACGTCATTTCTGTGTCCGCAACAACATCACGTGGGCGGTAAAAATAAGAAAGTGGAGCACCGTGTCTGAAGTTGCAGCAGCTGATTTCAAGCCAAGGAAGATGGCAAACGTGAAAACAGTCTTTTCGTGATCCAGCGACGAGGTTCAGTTATGACTGAACGTGACACTGGATTTTAAAACTATTGTCTATGGTTTGTTTAAACTGTTTTCCACAATAGCGTCACATGACCGATGTCACGAACCCAGCGAATCAGGAAGGTGCAAGTCACAGTGACGTGGTCCAATGAAGATGGCAACTAGAGCTCCTACGTCAGCCTATCAGCGTTTTCAGGCGTCCACACAGTGCTGGATCAGATCTGTACTCAGATAAATTCGTGGAAGCTGGCGACACCAGATTGTTCCGTCTCTGGAGCCATTTTCCATCGGATTAGTGTGGATGAACACTGCATCTGCAACGAAAACTACTCGAACACGTACTAGTGTGGACAGGGCCTAAAGTTGCATTGTGTAACTTTTTTTGTGGAGGATCTGCCACCTGCTTGTTTCTGTGACTAGAATGTTCCAAAGAGTGACATTTACCTCACATTTATTCAATTACAGGTGGTTTTAGAGCTCAAAAATACCTTGAAAAATGGTGCGGTCACCTCTCCACAGATCTGACCTGTAACTTGGTCTGGTTTGGTCTTCATGAAGATAGAAAGGTTTAAAGCCAGACTGTGAAACATTCTGGACAAAGCAAGAACATCTCCATGAAGAAAAGCATTTAATGGGACCAGAAAAGTTACATAATTCACCTTTAAATGAGTTGGACTTTGAGCCAGCTGGTCCAGACTTCATTCTATATCGTCGTTCACACATATCTGGACTTTCCCCTCACATCCTATTTTGGACCATGATTGTGTTGGCGCTAATATGAAACGCCCATTGTCCCCTTCGTCGGAAAAGTGAAGCTCGCGTACCCCCATCCCTCCGCAGCTGGTGACCCCACCGAAGGGCACACACGCTGGGCAGACCCGACGCAGATGTCCTGGCTCTCTCCGGTTTCCTCCACAACAATGACGGGCTTGTTCTGAGCGCGTAGGAATTCAGACACACAGCGCATGGAGTGTGGGGAGGGGAACGGGGGGAGCGGGACGATTCACTCACCAGAAAATTGAGTCCTAATAGGCTTTACAGGGGAAACATTGATTTAATATGACTTCCGAGTAGCCCAATAAAAAAAATCTGGTATGTAGCTGGCACGATGTCTTATCTGCGATTTCCGTTTTGTTTCAAAACCAAATAGTTTCCGGATTTCTGCAAAAATTAAATGCAGTAAGTACTTTGGGGGAGGGAACTGTTATGATATACAAAAGAGAATGTGTTGTGTTGAATTATAGTTAATCATTTCAGCAGTTTCTTGGATGTTTTCAGCTATTTTATAGGTGCATTGTGTAACTTTTCTGGTGGAGCCTCCATCGAAGGCTGCTTAATTAATCGAATTTTGATAACAGTTTTGATTTGTGTGTCAAACAATCTCCAATAATCATATAACTGAGTTGAAATAAGCTTAACATAGTTTATTTTGGGACTTTTAAAAATATAAATCAGTATATTTATTTAATTTTTTTAAATTTTAAGATTGTAGAACAGCTGGATTTAATGTTTTATACATCGCAAAACTGCTCTAACGTTCATATTTGTAGCCTATATTTATTTTCTATTTGAAAGTTTTGGGTAAATTATCAATACCAAAGTGGGATTGTTTTGTTTTGGGATTTTGGGGGGGGGTTGAAAGAGAAATGCTGAATAAATGCATCATGTAACTAAAAAATTATAATAATCATGATTTCAGTATTGATCAAAATAATAGTTGACGAGTGATTTTATTTATTTATTTATTTTTTTTAATAATCGAGCAGCTCTTCCTCCTTCACCTTCTTATTTCTATGGATATGACATTGCTCTGCCTGGAATGTTCCACAGTATGACATTAAACAACTCTACTTCACATTTACTGAATTACAGGTGGTTTTATAGCTCAAAATATCTAGAAAAACAGACATTCTGACTGTGAGCGGGCTTGCCTCTCCAAAGATCTGACCTGTAACTTGGTCTGGTTTGGTCTCCATGAAGTGAAACATTCCAGACAAAGCAATAACTGCGGTGCCCGGCAAGTGCAAAACACTTTTACATTTCACACACAAACAAAAGGACATTTAAAACACACATTTCCATCTTGAAAACAAATTCACGTTTCATAAAACACATTCAAATTCACAAAACACGAAACATTTGTACAAGCGCTGAGACAAATTTACATGTGGCAAAAACACAAATACAAACCAAAAAAGTTCTTGAAGAAAAGGGAATGTCCTAAAAAAGCAGAGACGAATGAGAAAAAAGTGATTCAACAGAAATAAGAAAGATATGTTCTGACTACAGTAACTCTCTGATTATAGCCGTGTTAAATTTATTTGACAGTTTTGTGGGTTATGGCAGTAAATTTGTCTCGGCGCTTGTACAAGTGTTTTGTAAATTTGTTGGCTCGGTTGCAAATATGCTTTATGAAACCTGGAATTTGTTTTCAAGACGTAAACGTGTATTCGAAATGCGACTTTATTTTCAAACTTGTCAATGTGTTTTGCACTTGCCGGCCACCGTAAATAACACCTCCATGGAGAAAATAACAAAGCAATGCGCTATTCGTTTCTTTTTGATTCACTGTTTACTCCCTGTTGTGGCCAAACCTCCTGTCAAATCCTGATCTTGTCTGATCTCAGAAGATAAACAGGGCAGGGTCAGGTTCGTACTTATTAGTATTAGTACATGGGAGTTCGCCAGGAAAACTAGGTGCAACAGCGCGAGACAGCAGCAGCTCTATTTGTTGTGTCCTTAGGCAAGACACTTGAAAAGAAACACACCCATATTTCCGAGTATGAATGTGGTTTGGGCATGAGTGTTTGTGGTGAATGGCCTCATTTTGCAGCTTTGGCTACAGTAGGAGTTTAATATGTACTGAATGAATAACATACACATTATGAAGTGACTTTGAAGAGCATACTGTACATGTGCAGTGTTGGGAAATAACTGAATACATGTACAGAATATATGTGTTTGAGTACCTATATTACAGCACAGTTTAGTTGCTTATCTAAAAATCTCCAATTAGTTATAAGAAATGCACAAACTAAATATAAAGCAGTTTTTAATTTTATGTTTCATTTTACACAATAGTAATCTACATGAAACTCTGTATAAAAGTATTCTTAGTATTCAGAACACTGTATTTTGATTGGACCGTGTAACAGAATACAATACAATGCATTTTAATTTGGATATTCTGTAACTAAATACATTTTCATATTTATTAATATATTTCATATATTCTTTCCATCACTGAACATATGGCTCCACGACCACTCCAACCACAAATCATTCCTTAAAATATTACATTTAAGTGCTGAAGTGTCTTGCCCATGGACACTACTTGGATCAAACCACACTTCTGGTTATAAGATGCCTCACTCTACCTCCTGAGACATTTTTTTTCTCAGCTGGTCTCTCCAAGCATTAAAGTTATTTGTATTAAATGTCTTAAATGTAAAAGAACTCAACTTTATGTAACAAATAACAATCCGTGTATCATTCGTTCATTCATTTTTCAATATAACACCAAAAAAATAAAAAACAACAAGACAGACTTTTGCACCAGGACCAGGGCTGAGACCAGGGCTGAGACCAGGGCTGAGACCAGGGCTGAGACCAGGGCTGAGACCAGGGCTGAGACCAGTTCAGTCTTGTTTTAGTCCTGTTTTAGTCCTGGTTCGATCCTGGTTTAGAGCTGGTTTAGTCCTGGTTCAGTCCTGGTTCAGTCCTGTTTTAGTCCTGGTTTAGTCCTGGTTTAGTCCTGGTTTAGTCCTGGTTTAGTCCTGGTTTAGTCCTGGTTTAGTCCTGGTTTAGTCCCGGTCCATAATGTTTTATTCCTGGTTCAGTCTTTCATTGCAGTTAAAGTCACGGAAACTAGAAACTATCCGTTTTTTTCCATTATTCATTTAAACAATTGGAGACAAATAATGAAGAAAATTGTAGTTTTTTCATTTTCTTATTTTTGGTTTTATTTTGGAAAAACGAATGAACGAATGATACGCGGCTTCATAGCCCCAGGTCCTGTCAATCATCATATCATCGTTGCACTGTCTTCCTATGACCTGTTGTATAAAGCTGAGATTGTATATTTTATTACTTATTTTTCTGTATTATTTTGACTTGTACATATTTAATTGTCTTATTTCACACCTGTCTCTTGCTATCTCTATATTTTTTATTCTTTGTTATGATATTATATTGTGTTGCGTGACCTACTTTGTCCAAATAATTCATCAATAAATCAATCAATCAATAAAGTTTGTCTAAGTCGAAATTAACTGCGCAATAATACCCAAGTACGGTACACTATTTTTGTCTTTTGAAATTTGACATTTGAATCTGCCTGAAACGTTCTGTACCCAATATCAGATCAGAGTTATGATCTGAAGTAGCTGGGGCATTAACCTGGTGTGTTTATTGCTTTATATAATTGTCTGAGCTGGTGTTTTTCCTCATATTCATGTGTGTGTGTGTGTGTGTTGTCTGCACAGGTCGGTGGCTGTTCTCACTGAGTGCATGAGGAACAAAGCCCTGGCCAAGCTGTTCCGGGAGCGTCAAGAGCGTCTGCAACACTCCCTGCCCCTGGGCTCCTACCTGCTCAAGCCAGTGCAGCGCATCCTCAAGTACCACCTGCTCCTGCACGTACGTAACACTGCTGAAGATACACCGTGGAGAGAGACGGGAGACAGCTGCTTTAGTGGGCCTGTATTACGCAATGTTTACTTTTGTCGACTTTAAGCCAAGTTATGATAATGTTACGTCCTCAAAAACAGACCTGGAGTTGTGTTTTGTTTTATCCACATGTTTGAGTAACACTTTCAATCATCAAAAGTTTTAGAACACCCTAATTTTTCCAGTTTTTTCTTGCAATTCAAGTCCAATGAAGAGCTTGAAATGGTACAGAGGTTAAAAAAAAAAAAGATAAAAGAACAAAACACAAGTCCAAGCTCTGCCAAAACTACCTCAGGAAAAAAGAACAAGATGGTAAAGCTTGAAAACATGGAGTGTCCAGCAGCACAGTGTCCAGACTAAAACCCCATCGAGCTAGTTTGGGATGAACTGAACATAAAATTGAAGCAACCTACAAGTGCCACACATTTATGGGAACTTCTGCAACAGACTTGGGAAGAACTTATTGTAATCTAATCTTAACTTATTGTAAAAAAGAACGAGTCACGAGTGTGCTCAGCTGTTATATCTGCCAAAGGTGAATCAAAAGTTTAGAATACGTTTCGGTCAACAGTAAACGGTAAAAAACTGGAAAAAGCATGGTGTTCGAAAACTTTTGACCCATAGTGTACATCTCCAAAGGTCAAAATGCTCTGTTCCACCTTGTGATGTAACCACCTTGCGGTAATTTTCCACATGTGAATGAAACAAAACACAACTCCAGGTATTTTTTTGGTGAGGAAACATAAAAATAGGTCATAAAATAACATAATATGGGCTCTAGTTTAGTTTAGTTTTTTTCAGACATGTTTAGAGTGAGCTGTTCCGCTCTGTTCCACCATGTGATGTTATGTGGTAATAAAGGAAATGGTCCACTATGTTTTTAAACTCCATACACCTTCTCTAGAACATTGTTTCCCAAAGACTGGGTGGGTCACAAAAGATTTTTTTGGTGTCGCCTTGTCACAATCTGCATGTAGGTCTGCAATATCTCCGTCCCTCCACCCCACTCCTCACTGCTTCTTTGTGCCCCTCACTTTTTCAGCAGCATCGCCTTGCCTAACCAATTTTTTGCGAAATACTGATGAGTAATACTATAATTGTTCAGAGAGACACATTCACACAGTCAAAAATAAAATATCCTCATTAATTGTCAACAGTGGTCAAAAATGTATTTTGTGATTTACGAATAATGTCTATTGACCTGGGTTGCGAAGGTCTGTGACTTTTAAAATATGGGTCCCCAGAAAAAAGTTGGGAAAGACTGACCTAGTATCGCCAATCTCTGTTGAACTAAAGATAAACAGTAGCTGTTAACTTCCACTACACGACATCACAAGGTGGAACGGAGCATTTTGAGCTGTGGAGACAGACTAATAATAAGCCATTACTCAAACGTGTGTGAATGAAACAAACCAGCGAGCGGGTTAACTATTTCCATCTATCTATACAGTACAGAATATGACTCAGAAACAGCTGTCTAGGAGAGGGTCATGCAGGTAATAATAAATAATGATTGGATTTATATAGCACCTTTTAAGACACCCAAAGCTCTTTACACTGCATTATGAGAAAAACATGAGGTATTTTTTCCAATCACCTGAAAAAAACAATAAACTGTTGCCTTGTCTTCAGTCAAACATGACTTTTATCCCATTATATACATTATTATTAAGTTTTAAAACATGAAATCCAAATGAACGGTTTCCAAAAAGGACAGTAAACATACTTTTATTATTTGACTAACTCCAAACTAAATAGCTTGAAAACAGTTTGCTCAAAACAAGTCTCCGTATTCTCTGAGCTGCACACGAGCCCCACATTTATCAAATCACATTTCACAGGAAAGATTTCCCAATGAATTGAGTTACAGTCGGATCAGAGCTTTGGATTAGATTACCTCAGAAGACTTTTAAAAGGCAGACCCACAGATACTGTTACAGGAGACGCTATTGTTTTGTTTCTATACACTTTGAGTAACTTGGTCTCTCACTATTAAATAAACAAATCATAAATCAGACTGGAAAATACTGCAACCACATTACATTTGATGGACTTGGCCATTATTGCAACTGATTTATAGCCATACGTTATGTCACCCTCTCACTGTGCACTGGGTAATAATAATAGGATTTCGGCTCTTTTATGGAATCTGAATCTTTAGGATCAAGAGCCATTCAAAAGGTCCTCTGGCTCTTTATTTATTTATATGACACAAGCAAATTTGAGAACTCATTACAACTAAAACTAATCACAGAAAGACATGACCAAGACTCAGATCTGTTTTTTAAAATGGTTCAAATTGAGTGTGAAAGTGAGTTTAACCTTTTGAAATTTTGAAATTTAAAATAAAATGTTGCACTACAATAATAATTTATTAAAAACTGTTATTGAGATGCCAAATATGTGTTTGGGTTTTTTTAGGTTTTTGCGCACAAAGCTTTCACTCATGTTGCCTGCTCTGCTTCTGTACTGATTCTTGTGTTGGTTCTGCGTCAAACAGTGGATAAATAACAAAAATTGGAAAGAAAAAGGATTTGGTTCTTTTAAAAAAAATCTGTGTATCATTCGTTCATTCGTTTTTCAAGATGAAACCAAAAATAAGAAAACAAAAAAACAAGTATTTTCTTCATTATTTGTCTCCAAAACCAAAATGAAAAAACAGATAAAAACTGATTTTTTTTTTTCCAGTTTTTGATTTTGTGTTTAAATGAAGAATGGAAAAAACGGATAATGACAGTTTCCTGTTTCCGTGACTTGAACTGCGATGCCGGATTTTGCATCACATACAGACTGAAACAGGACTAAACCAGTCTGAGTCCTGGTCTGGTCCCGGTCTCAGTCTTTGTCTGGGTCTCAGTCCTGATCACCCAACAGTCTACACGGGTGCACCTCTGGGTTCGTCGCAACACTCAGTCCTGGTTCAGTCCTGTTTTAGTCTTGGTTCAGTCCGTATGTGGCGCAAAAGTTCGACTGAACCAGGACTGAACCAGGACTGAACCAGGACTGAACCAGGACTGAACCAGGACTAAACCAGGACTAAACCAGGACTAAACCAGGACTAAACCAGGACTAAACCAGGACTAAACCAGGACTAAACCGTTTTCAGTCCTTGTCCTCTTCCTGGTCTCAATCCTGGTCTCAGTTCTGGTCTGATCTTGGTCTCAGTCCCAGTCCTGATCCCAGTCTCAGTCCCAGTCTGGTCCTGGACCTGGTTTAGTCCTGGTTTAGTCCTGGTTTAGTCCTGGTTTACTCCTGGTTTACTCCTGGTTTAGTCCTGTTTCGATAAACACAAAATCGAAAACTGAAAAAACAAATCATTATCTGTTTCTTTCATTTTGGATTTAGAGACAAATAATGAAGAAAATAGTTGTTTGTTCATTTTCTTATTTTTGGTTTTATTTTGAAAAATGAACAAATGAATGACGCACGGATTAATCATCAAGAAAAGTCGACTCGTTAAGCAAATGTCACATCTCTACTGAGTTAGTAGTGACATGGTTTATGGTCTCTATTTACTTTGGCAATATATTGTACTTCATCATGTGTTATTGTGACAGGCCTAGTCAACAGTGTAGGTCATTTTATTGCATTTCTAAAAGCAGTACTTGTGGATAACCCCCAACCTGAGAAGCCAAATGTTGAGCCAGTAGCCATATGGTCCCAGTATGAGTGTTCCTGTCTGTGCAGAGATCCTCACACTTTCTCTAAACCCTCATGTTATGTGTTTGTTATTGTGCAGGAGATCGCCAACCACCTGGAGAAGGACACAGAGACTCTGGAGGTGGTCCAGGAGGCCATTGACACCATGCAGAGGGTGGCCTGGCACATCAACGACATGAAGAGGAAGCACGAGCACGCCGTCAGGCTGCAGGTACGGAGGAAGGCGAGAGAGAGATACTAACGGTGGATATGTCACAGGAGTCAATCGATCAACAGTTTTATTAATCTCAAAGGGCAATTCGGTTTACACATCTCTGGTCGAGCACAATCCATTAATAAATAAAATAAAAAAGTAAATCAAATATATACAACACACTCGGTATCATTAAAAAGTTGCCGATATGATACATACCTCGATACATAGGCCACGATACGATACATATCTCGATACAGTGCACCTTCGACTTGATACGATATATTTCAAATCGATTTGATGCGGTTCAATAAAAAATAAAATCTAAATCATGACTGTGATACTAAAAGTCTTTGTTAAACCACTTCTTGTGCAAAGGTCAAATGAAACACAAACATTTTAAATAATAAAAACTGAAAATGTCAATTGTGTCACATAAATGAGTTTCCTTCCAATCAACAAGCAACAAAACTGTATTTGTAACAAAATAATTGAGCTAAAATACACCTGTATCGATATAGAAGCCCACGATATCGATACTGTATCATCAGTTTAAGCGATACGATATACTGATATTTCGATATTTTTGCACACCCCTACAACACACGGCATACATTCAAATCTCTGTGCATCAGGGACACAATAGCAAATTTACTTTCCATTTAAAAGATTTATGGCAGAAGGAATAAAAGTGTAGTGGTTGGTGTTTTGTTGTGGGGGTGACATATCGTCTCTCAGGGGGCATTTGCACAAACTGTGAGCGCTGTATATGGTTAGACTCACTCAGAATGGCCTTAGACTTTTGGAGCACCCGATGTCTCCACACAGACACCAAATCCTCCATCTGAACACCACAGATTTTGCCGCACACTTTTAGTATCTGGTTCAGACTGTTCTGATCTTTCACCCATAAACTCATAAAACCAACAAATAAAAGAAAAAGTCAGCAAACTTTCAATAAAGGAATGAATGAGAAGGAGTCCTCATTTGTCCTTTTGTAAAAGAAAAAAAAGCAGACCTATGGACACTGTTTTCATCATCATGAGGTTTCAACTTCCATTCAGAAGCTATTTTCAGTTTGATGGTACTGGTTTGAGATTTGTACTACACTGTACTGTATATAAGTCCTGCGGCCAAAGGGAGGAGTGCTTCTGGATGGGAGCCCAAATGTTTTGATGTCAAAAACAGTAGTCGTAGTAAATTGTCCTCTTATGTAAAAAGAAAGCTGCTACCAGTGTTAGTGCTAACCCTGTAATTTGGACTTCTGGAAACATGTTCTGAAGTGCATGGGAGTCATGTCGTTCACATATTTCACATGTCAAATGTCTGTTTTAATGGTCAGGGACATATTTCAAATGTGCAGCGTGAAGCATCAGGTTAGTTGTGATTGAGATATAGATCTAGATCTAGATCGTTGTAAAGGTTTAGGTCCAACTGTGTCCTGTTTATGTGTTTATAGTTAACTTTCATACTATTTTTTTTCAGTTCTGTGTATTAGGGAAGAAAAAATCAATTCAGTGATATCGTGGTACTTCACTGCACAATTCTCGAATCGATTCAAAATGGATCTGAATCGATTTTTTTTTTTAATTTTCACAAAAATTCATTCACTGAACTTTTCTGTTCTCTTCACTGTTCTCATGATTTAAAACTAAATATATAAATGATAGTTCTTACAATTGTGTTCGCTTGAAGGTGTAGTTGACTGTATTATTAGAAGTAATTATTCATAAATCGCAATATATCATCTACTGTTTTAGTATCGGGATATATCGGGATATATTGAATCGTGACATGAGAATCATTATATGTATCGTATTGTCAGACTCGAGGCAATGCACACCCTTACTGTGTGTTGCTCTGAAGCCAATAGGCAAGGAATAAAGGGTAGGCATAATAAGCTTAAGCTTCAGCCTTCACCTTTTCGGTCTATGTATGTTAAATATGATTGTCTGTGAATTAATGTCAAAATATACCTGTGACCGAAATAAATTATCAATATGAAATATACAATTTAATAACTAAAAAAAAACAGGCACTTTTCCTACAACAAAATGCATCTATGTCTTATTTGTTAAGGGTAAACTAATTTCAACCTAATGTAGCAAAGGATCAATCAATCAAACTTTATTTATAGAGCGCTTTTCATACAAAAAATGCAACACAAAGCGCTTAGGATCTAAGTTAAAGACTGGTACAGACTGTGCTTCTATGTGGAGCTCCTTATACGAGTGTTCATTATCACAGTGAACACAGAGAGCAGGGCCTTACACAAGAACAGAACAAGACAATAAAATCCACTCTTTGTTTTGTGCTCCTAATCATATTTTTTTTTATTGTCGATTCCAGGAGATCCAGAGTTTGCTGACCAATTGGAAAGGGCCCGACCTGATTGGCTACGGGGAGCTGGTCCTGGAGGGAACGTTCCGACTGCAGCGCGCCAAAAACGAACGCACCCTCTTCCTGTTCGACAAACTGCTGCTCATCACCAAGAAGCGCGAGGAGACCTACACCTACAAGGCCCACATTCTGGTCTGTCAGGCTCACCAAAGCGCAAAGTAAATGTGAAATGTGCTGAGATGAAGCTGACCTGTGTGTGTTTGTGTGTGTGCTCGTTTCAGTGCTGTAATCTGATGCTGGTGGAGGTCATTCCTAAAGAGCCTCTGAGTTTCAGCGTGTTTCACTATAAGAACCCAAAACTCCAACACACAGTCCAGGTACTGCAAAGAAATTGTACTGATATGTTTTTCAGTTATAAAAAACCCTGACATTTTACGTAATTGTCTTATTTATTATTTTTTATAAAGTCTACTTAAACAATTTTATATTATTCTGAAGTAATAATTCAACTTAAAAATTATGCAAAATTTACTTTTTAGAGCTTACTACCATATTATAATCCCTCATCAAAAACATGCCATGAAGAGGTTTTATGCCATCCATGCATCTTTGAGTAATCTAGTGATCTCTCCTGGGCTTTATTTGAAAGGAAAGTAAGGCAAATTCATACTCGAAGTAATTCAAAGTGCTTTACAGAATAAGAAATACATTAAAAACACAATAAAAACAAATCAAAACATAAATAATCATTATAAAATTAAAAAAGAGAGAGAGACATCAAATTAGAGAGAAGAGTGCAGAATGAAAAATGAAAATCTTTCAGTCATACGCAGCTAAGCAGAATTGTTATTTGAGCCTGGATTTAAACAGCGTCAAAGTAGAGTCTGTCTCACATCTTCAGGAAAACTGTTCGAGGTTTTCGCTGCATGATTTTGAAACTCTGACTCCCCGTGTTTAGTCCTGACCATTGTGTAAAAGAAGTGGACTAAGCGAGTGTGACGTCACCCACAGCGTTCAGTGCCGCTCAAATGAGGCTCACGATGCTAAAGGTTACAGGAGGGTACTATGTTATGAGTAGGATTTTTTTTGACAAAATAGCAGGAAAAAAAAATCTGGATCATGCAGAACGGGTTAATACGAACATTTTAAAACCAAAAATGACGAGGCTCACAGCAGCAGGTACAGAGAGGGGCAACAAGATCTCAGTGTAGATCAGTTGGAGCTCTAGGGTCAGAAGGAGCGAGAAGAGCCTCTTGGCAAACATCCTATTTGGCACACGGCGGACGAGAGCATCAGCTTTGTCCACTCATTTATGCGGTTCTATGGTCCTGACTCTGGGCACCAGCAGGAGGCCGGACCGTGAGCTCCTCAGAGGTCCTAGAAACCTCTTCATCGGTAGCTGTACAATCTTATCCAATGCTTAGATCTCGAGCCTCCCACACGACAATTATCCATAAATATACAAAAACGTGATACAAAACTATACACGACAGCTTGACAAAATAATGCAGTAGTTTGGTGAAGAAAAGAGGTAGAGCGCTTCACTGGGTCATAAAAGAGATAAAAAAAAATAGCAGTACAGGTTCTCTACGAGGGTTAAATTAGTAGTCTTAAACAGAAAGTTAACCTTACTGGAAAATGTGAAAGTGGGCAAGGTCCAAACCTGAGGCACTCCGACTGAATATAATAAAAGTCCTTTTATTGCATGAAGGGATACCAACGTGTTTCGACCAGCAAGATTGTCTTTGTCAGGGCAAAAATAAATAAATCACAGTAGTTTGTTTGTGTTGTGATAGCACTTTGAGGGAGGAGGGAATATGTTGTTTTTGATGAATATAGCATTTTCAAATCAAAAAAAGGTAACATGATGATCTAAATATGTTGTGTTTTAGAAATTAATATCAATAGAAGTGTAATAGCCCCTCTTTAAGTTCCTTTCATTAAATTCAATACTAGATAGGTGGAAATACTTTATTAATGCATTTTATTAAGAGAAACTTTTTCAGGTGTGACATTTATCGCATTGCAGCTTGAATACTTATATTTGAATACATTTTATTTGCATTTTCAGCCTTCCTTCTTCACGCGCGTGCTTGTATAACATAATTATAGTCTGAGAGAGTTTTGGCTCGATGCAGGAGTCTTGATTGTTTTGTAACACTTCTGCTCAGACTTGTTGAGTGTTACAATCTGATAAAGCCATTGTTGACTCCTCACCGCAGCCTCCTGGACACGTCCTGGAAGCGAAGGCATAATAATAGTGTTACATAAGACCGTGAAGGTTTTCAAAGTAGTTCTTAACTGTCTCTAATGCCCGATGCTATCTCTCTTCTCCGATGTGTCGCTACAGGCTAAATCTCAACAGGACAAGCGCATGTGGATTCTGCATCTCAAGCGGCTCATTCTGGAAAACCACCCGGCCAAGATCCCAGCCAAGGTACGGGCTAGTGCTGTCACGATACTGACATTTCAAAATCAATACCGAGTCCACACTCTTTCTGTAGACAATAGAATATGATTTCGACATGAAATAAAAGTACTTTGTTTGAGTCTCATTTGTCAAAGTGGAACAATAGCGGAACAAGCTAAATAATTTAACTGTTATGGCAACTGGACTTAAGTTTATTTTGGTCAAATATGTTTCATAGCTCGTCCAAGCTGTTTCTTCAGTTCTGGTCAGAATGCTGAAGGACACTGCCTTATATCTGCCTGAAGGAAGGAGCTAACTACAATGAAATTAATCTGAAACTTAGTAAACTAGTTAAATATTTGTTTAAAGCAGGCATTTCCAAACTATGACCTGAGGGCCAAATGCAGCCCTCAGACCAATTTTTCTTCAACTTTTCTTTCTTTCTCCAGGTAAATTGGATCAAATTACCTTTAGCAGTACTTTTTAATGTTTTTTGAAGCCAAGATTTAATATTTATTGTATGCTTTTGAGGAAGTTTGAATAAAGGATAGCTCATTCTATGTTCATATGTATTGAGCACCAGTTTATGGCCCTTTGATCGGCCTCTCCATTGTTTTGAAAGGTGGCCCTTGATGAAAAAAGTTTGGACACCACTGGTTTACAGATTCTGTTAGCTAGACTTATTGAAACTGCTCTAAATGTGGGGAAATATTAGTGTCCACCAGCATTCTGACCAGAAGTGAAGAAGCAGCTTGGATGAGATGCAAAACACAGTCAGCCAAAATAAACCTTTGTTTTTCCAGTTGACAAATAAAATTTTTCCTTTTTACCATGAATTCTACCTGGACAACTGAGAGATTTTACACACAATTTAATTTTTATTACATCCAGTTGAAAGAAAAGCATCTCCTTGTCCACAAATGCACAAAGCACTTACAGTCACAAACAAAATCGTGCGTCTGTTGGCGTTACCATGTTTGTTTTGGTTTGTTTGGGCGCTTCGCCTTTGGCAATTGCACAAACCTCATTGATTGGTCGCCAACCACCTGTCAGATTCTATCGCACCAAGATGGATTCTCCTGAGTTTGTGAACTCAAAATATTGCGAGAATCCCATCTTGCTGTAGAGGTTTACCACTTGAAGCAAGCCCAAAAAAACAATCTGTGACGCTCAAAATTTGCAAGAGACTTTGCCTGGAATGTTTCGCAGTATGGCATTAAAACATATCTTCTTGCGTCTATTCAGTTACAGTTGTTTTATCACTCAAAAATAGCTTGAAAAACGTGCATTCTTTGTTACGTGCCCGAAGATATCACCTTCCACCTGCTTTCCTTAGGGAGAGGTAAATTTAATACCATATTGCGTAAAATTCCAGGCAAAGCTATAACATCTCCATGGAGACGGGCAAGAGAAAAGTTACATAGTGCACCTTTTAAATTGTACAAAGTTTAGTTATGATTGATTTAGTTAATTTGGTCAGTAAAAAATATTAAACGAGGAGTGAAAGACTGAGAAGCGCTGCTAATCAGGGTCAAATCTGTAGAATCAATGCTGTGCCAGAGCTCCCTCTAGTGGCCTCAGCTCATATTTTCTGTTTTAATTCCAGGCCAAGCAAGCTATTCTGGAAATGGATGCAGTGCGTAAGTAACCTGCATATTAACTGTATTCATCATAATTTAAAAAAAAATCTTTAAATGTGTCTTTTAATATGTGTAGACCACCCAGGATTCCACTACAGTCCTGATGGAGACAAGAAAGACTCTCCCCAAACTAAGGAAGGTCCAACTCCACGGAGAGGACGCAGGAAAGGTACACAACAAATGCATTCAGTACTACTAATGTACTTTACACGCATGTTTTTACTTCATATTGATCAGCTTCTATTTTAGTTCAATTACTAAAATACTTTTGATTGAAATTCTCGGGAAGACAGACTTTGAAGGTGCTGTGAAAAGTGATTTTATTAACTCATCGCTATGAATAATAAGGATTTTTATTTTAATTTTTTTTAGCTAACACACAGTTCCTGATATTAATAATCTCATTTTGTAATTAGATGCACACAGCCGACTTATTTTGACCTACAATATAGCTGTACTTGGAAAATTTATTTTATTTTTTTGCAATTTAACACAAAGAAATCCAATGTATCCAAAGGCTTACATCCATTTCAAACCACTTGCTTTTACTAACTTGGCCTATCCATTAAGACCCAAGATGATCAATGATTATAAATGACTGAAACTTCATCGAAATTCATCCTAATTTCACTTTTTGATTCATGGTCCGAACTCTGTATCTGTTTTTGTGGTGTTTGTGTGAGGGACTTGGCATCACATGGAGTGGTCCTGCTCTGAATGTTTGACGTAGTATTGTAAAATCGGAAGTGATAATGTGGTGCCAAGTTCCTGCTCAAAATGAACATTAATCATGTAACTGCAGCTGCTTTTTCTCTGCAGAGCCCCTGTCCAAACTACTGAAGAACGCCAAACAGAACGCTGCCAACTCTGATGGAGAAAAGGTAACACTGAGATAAGATATTTATTATTATTATTATTATTTCAAATCCTAACTTTAGTAGTATATGAATAAAGATTTATAGAGCAGAAGTTTAAAGAACGTACTGTGTATGTCCAGCGGAGCAGTCTAGGGGCCACCCTGCTGTCCCCCGTGTCCCAGCTGGCTCTGGGCACCATCGGCCGGAGCCGCAGCCTCATCAACCAATCACAGGAGTCCTTAGACCCATGTGACCACTATTACCATAGCGACCGCGAGGAAGGGGAGGAGCCCCACCAGCAGGATGCTGATGACGAGGACGACAGCGGCATCGTAAGTGTAAACATTTTTTTATTAGTTATATTACGGTGATTTGAAACTGAACTGCTTTGTGTTTGTTTGTGTGCAGGGAGGCAGTAAGAAGCTGAGGGTCCCCGGTAAAGGCAGCAGGAAGAGGCTGAACCCTCAGGGCTCCGTGGACAACATTGATCAGTGGAAGGCTTTCAACATGAGCCCCTCTGACCTACAGGTATAGCCTTGTGATGTTATATCCTTATGCTCCTACAATATGTTAACAACCAGACCAAACAGTTACTCAAAAGTAAAATATTGGACAAGAAACCATTCTCAGTTCACCACTGCACTATTTTAGAGAAGTACAACTTGCTTAATTTTAATCATTTTGTTCATTTTTAATATGGCTATTTTGTTTATAAAGTTTTGTATGGACTTGCCCTCCTCCGTTACAGGATATTATTAAAACACAGACTGTCAGTGGGGTGGGAACTAGGGCGACAGCCTGGGGGAACTGTGAGCTCCCACACAGACACACCACATTCGGACAAAGTGTGTCTCAGTCAGAGGCACTAAGTTCTGGAACAGTCTCCCTTTATCAATAAGAGAGACTCCAACACTGAACACTTTCAAATCACACTTGAAACAGTGGCTAAAGGAAAACCAGACTTGTGGACACTTAGTTTCGAGCTGTCTCTATTGTCACTTGTTTTTTTCTGGTAAATTTGTGGTGTTACCTGCTGAGGGACTACAGATGGAAATTTTTTTGCTATAATCTGGCATATTTACACTGCAGTGTTGTTCATTAATATGCACTGCCCGTATTAAATAAATAAAATAAATAAATAAAGATATTAGAAATTTAAATAAAATTTTATTATAGTGGTAAACTACTAGTTGTCCTCCGATCTAAATACTAACCAGGTCCAACCCTGCTTTGTGTCTTAGATCTGACGAGATCAGTCTTTGATAAACCAGCTACAAGAAAAAAGGTGCAAGAAAAAACTAATGATGAAGATGGTAGATGACACCCAAATTTCAATTAATCATTCTGTGAAACACTGACATGACATGAAGAGTAGATTCTGTAAATAATTATGAACTGATATCAAATGTTACAGATTCAACATTACTATGCGCCTGCTAAAATTAACAGTTTTTCCCTTCTTCAGAGAGCCAGAGAGTCCCTGACTCGGGACAGCAGCCGGCACCCTCCACTGCGTCGGTCATCACGGGTCACTGAGACGCCCCCTGATTCGCCCATCCCCACTGTGATCGTCACGCAGACCGACCCATCAGTGAACAGCATCTGGGCGGACCACAGGGCTCGGCGCGCCATGTTTCCCACCCGCCAGCGCACCATGCAACCCGACGAGGACGAAGACATCTACCAAATGTTCGTCCCGTCCGAAGCCAGCCGTGCCGAACCGGAACCACAAACTCAGTCTCCCAGTAGAACGGCCCGACCTGTCAGCTGGCACGTGGAGCAAGTCCCGACGGTGCAAGTGGACCCCCCGCCCTCCAATGGGGGTAGGGTCCTACGCAGGGCGAGCAGCGTGGGGGAGAAGGCTACGGAAGCGAAGCAAAGTCCGGAAAGTGACCAATCTAGCAACCTTGAAGTCATCCACACAGAGTCCTCCAGCAACGACCTGTCTGCTTCCTCCTCAGCTGAACAACTAACTCTGGACGATATTGAAAACGTGTACGACAACATCAGCTACCAAGATCTCAAAAATATGGGACTGGTGAGGAGAGATCTTGAGGAAAAAGACGTCAAAGAGGAACACGGAGAGAGCCCTGTGCCCACGATCGAACCGGACACATCATCGGAAAGTAATAGGTCCTCAACGCATGAAGTAAAACCTTTTGAGATGAACGTCGAGGAGGAAAACATCTACGATACGATATGTTTTAGAGAACCACCAACGAAAGACTCAAAAGTTGACCTTGACCAAGAGCGGGACAGTTTGTTGGCGTCAGAGCAGGACTTGATGGAAAGTCTAAAAGGCTTTGTGTCCGAAGAAAGTTTGCAGTTCGAAGATGAGGCGAACAACAATGTCAATCCGTGCTCTTCCGAAGTAGATCTATCTTCTTCGAGTGCTTCTGAAACTTTCTCAAGACAGAAGGGGGATAAAATGTCGGAGCGGGTGGATGAGATTTGGAACGACTTGGAAAACTACATCAAGATCAACGAGAAGAAAGCCGATCGTTTACCTGCGGCTTTTCCGGTTAACGAATCATCCCCCAAGAAAAGGTTGAGTAAAACAAAAAGTCCACCGCAAACTTCTAGTCCTTCAAGAAAGCCTTCCACGCCAATGTTTAAAGTTCCGGTTATCAACATACCTGATATTGAAGTAACAAATGAAGAGGAACTAGCCAGCGCAACAAGTCAAACGCCAACTCCAACAACTCCAGAGCCCCAGCAGGGAACGGTCAAGAGTATACGCAACCGGCTAGCACGCCTCAGCAGTGGCAGTTTCCGATTGGACGAGGACGATGACCTTGTAGAACTTCCGCCAAAGTCTCCATCTCCGAAAGACCTCTTGTTCCCGGGAGAATTGGCGAGCCTTGATTCGCCTCTAGCTTCCAGTTCGTTGCTGTTGGGCGATTCGGTGGACTTTCCGTTGGAGCTGATGGACAAAACCAAAAGCAGGGTGTTCCTCATGGCGCGGCAGTACAGTCAGAAGATCAAAAAGGCCAACCAGCTGCTGCGCATGAGGAGCATGGACCCCGGGGACACGTGCAGCCGAACCAGAGCCGAGAAGAAGCAGAAGGACCTGGCAGCCATCTTGGAGGAGAAGAAGCAAGGAGGTGCAGCTATAGGTAATGCAAAATTTATGGATGGAATTGGTAGGATTTGGCTGTTGGCTGGTGGCATCTCTCAAGAACCTGAATATTGGTCTAACAGAGTATTTCTCACAGGGTTCCCACGGTCATGGAAATTTGTAAATCCAATGAAAGTTTTGGAAAAGTCATAAAATTTTTGTATCTCTTTCACGCAACTAGAGATTTCTGTTAAGTTATCATTTGGCTGTTATGGTTATTTCTGAATGTCTGCACCTTTGGTTTAAAAGAGACGACAATAAATGCACTGACAGTATTTTGAATGTAAAAAAACTATAATACCAAACAATAAGGTGAGTGGAAAGAGTTAACATTTCATATTTAGCCCTGAAAGTATGATCGATTCTACACATGTAGGGTGTCGTAAAAGTCATGGAAAATTCATTTTGGGACAGACATGTCAAACTCAGGCCCAGGGGCCAAATTTGGCCTGCGATATAATTATATTTTTCCCGCGAGATCATATCAAATATGTATTAGAGCTGACTCACTAGGATACAGATAGACTATAGAGACATTAATTATTTAAAATGTAGTTTATATTTTGCTTGTTCTGGAGCCAATGTTTAAGGAAAACTATTATTAAACATTTATTTTAATAAGAAAAGGTTTAAAATGACATATCCTGAAAGAAGAGGAAACATGCAGATGTTGTTGAAATTTTTCCATAAATATTTAGTTTGGCCCATGACTTAGTCCCAGTTTTTAATTTCGGGCCCTCTGTGAATTTGAGTTTGACACCCCTGCTTTAGGTCATGAAAAATCATGGAAAAGTTTTGAAATTTTGTCAGTGAAAGGAGTGGGAATCCTGTTCTCAAAAGGGTTCCTCAAGTGCAACTAATGATGTCACGATACTGAAATGTCTTTCGAACTCAATTTCAGTGCCAAGGAATAGACTCAATACTGATTCCAATACCACAATGATAAAAAACACCCTTTCTTTAGAAATTACAATGTAATTTTTAACATTACCTCATAGTACTTTCTTTTATATTACTATGTAGTCTTATATCTGTGCAATCCCTGAGTTTTCCAGGTAGTTCCATAGTAGTCCGGTATATACTAGTCTATGTGGTCTTCATTTAATCCAAATAAATGCCAGTTTTAAGGAGACAAGAAGGTTCTACCAGAGAAGTTTCGTAATGCACTTTTAAGTTATTGTGTGGACCAGGTCTTATGATGTTGGCAATGATGATTTTTTGAATTTTGGTTAATAAAAACATATGGGAAAAAAACCTCACAATCCTCTTACGTCTCTTTCTCTTAGGTGCCCGGATCGCCGAGTATTCCCAGCTGTACGACCAGGTCATGTTCCCTCCTGGCTCCTCCCCCTCCGGCCCCGCCTCCCCCGCCCCCCATCACCACCACCACCACCACTACCACCTCCCCTCCTCCCCCTCCCTGCCCGAGACCTCCTCCGAGCACGACTGGCTCCACTCCACCTACAGCAACGGCGAACTGGCCAGCTTCATCTCCTCCCTGTCCGCCGAAACCCCCCAGCTCCGCGCCGCCTCCACCCCGCAACGCCCTCCCATTCCCCCCGGTCCCGCTTCCAAAACCTCCCAGTCCACGCCCATTTCCCAACGCTGGAGCTCCTGCATGTCCGCCCCGTCTGAAAAAGAGGAGCACGTGTATAGCACTATCAAGAGACACACATCTTTCAACGCGCCGTCTTTGCCGCCGAAAAACGCAACCGAGCAAGAGAAGAAACCTAAAAGTAACAGGTCTTCCGGACACTACCCGAGCTTGGGGCGCACCGGCCGGCACAACAGCCTTCCGGAAAGCACGGACATCACCTTGCAAGACGGGCAGCAGGTCGTAGTGCTAAACCGCAACTCGGCGCTGAGCATTCTCACCGCCACGCAGAACTACCTCGCCAACTTCAAGGACAATGGCGAGGACGACGACGATTACGTAGAGATCCGATCGGAAGACGAAAGCGAGCCCGACCGCAACAGCAATTTCGGAGTTTCGCCGAACTTCCCCAAGGGTCGGGTCCAGTCGCACAGCTTGCCGAACACGCCTGTCCATAAGTGCGATTCGCTGAGGTCCGTAGAGCGCCACCACCTGGAGAAGTACTTGTGGAGCGAGCAGCAGCATCACAACCAACCCAAAATTGTCCAGTCGTTGAGAGACAAATTGCAGTGTCTTAGCTCGAGTAGTTTCGCCTAAAAATGTAAACGTATTCACAGCACGTTGGACTTATCGGCGAATACCATTTCTGGAGCGAAAACCGGCCCACGTAAGCGAGGTGTGGGAGGGTTTAGCCGCTGAGCAGTCGAAGAGAAAGAGATTTAGACCTGCTTCGCCGTTTTAAATAATATACAGTCCACTCTAGTATCTTTCAACGTAGAAAAAGGAACCAGTTATCTCTTCGTTACAGGGCTTTCATAGGTTGACTGTGCCATATTTGATCTTGCCTTAGCACTTTTCATGTGTACATTGATTACTGTTCACTGCAACTTCTGTCAATCTGTACTTCTCAGAGTTACAAATTAGCCGGTAATTGTAATAGTATTTCTCATAAATATATTCTAGATTGGTATTAAAATAATTCCACTTTCAACAAATAATAACTTTTACTTTTAAGTTAAAGGGCCCATATTACGCTTTTTTCTGAACCAAAGTGTTATAATGTTGTTACCTCATCACAAACAGACCTGGGGTTGTGTTTTGTTTTCATTCGCACATGTTTAACACACAGATCCGGCATAATTAGGCTGATTTATTCTTTCAAAACAGGAAGTGCTCCACTGTGTTTGTGAATATTGTACATCTTCACTAGAATCACTTGGAACATTTAAATCCGTGTATCATTTGTTTATTTGTTTTTCAATATAAAACCAAAAATGACACGTAAATATGACTATTTTCTTCATTATTTGTCTCCAAAACCAAATTGAAAAAACAGATTCGATTTATCAGTTTTCGAATTTGTGTTTAAATGAAAAGTGGAAAAAATGGATAACAGCCATTTCCCATTTGTCTGACTTAAACTGCGATGCGGGACTGAACCGGGACTGAACCAGGACTGAACCGTTTTCAGTCCTGGTCTGGTCTCAGTCCCAGTCTCAATCACGGTCTAGTCGTGGTCTGGCCCTGCCTCATTCCTGGTCCTGTTCCCGGTCTCAGTCCCAGTCTGGTTCTGGTCTTGTCCCGGACCTGGTTCAGTCCAGGTTCAGGCGCAAAAGTCCAACATCGCAGTTTAAGTTTCGGAAACGGCGATTATCCGTTTTTTTCCATTTTTCATTTAAACACAAAATCGAAAACTGAAAAACTGAATCGTTATCCTTTTTTTTTTTTTCATTTTGGTTTTGGAGACAAATAATGAAGAAAACCGTTGTTTTTTTTTCACTTTCTTATTTTTGATTTCATATTGAAAAACTAATGAACAAATGATACATGGATTAATTTCAGTTCTGAAATGATCAGTCTCTACTAAACAAAAGGTAAAAAACGGTGGAACAGAGCATTTTGAGCTTTTGGAGATGCAGACAGATTAATAATAAAGCTTTACGCAAACATGTGTGAATGAAACAAAACACAACTTCAATGGTTTCTGAGGAGGTAACAACATTATAAAATGGCTTAAAGCATCAAGAGTCAGTTTTGCGTAATATAGAACCTTTAAACAGTAACATACATATAACATACAACATACATTGGCTTGTGTTTCTATTCGCTTTCTATTCAAACTTGCAATATAACGCTTTTAATTTAGCATTTTACTGACAAGCTTTTAGCAATAATAAGGTATCCACATTATCTATCTATCGTGGCTAGTGAAATTAGACTTAAACTATAAGTCTTACTGTCAATAGTGTATCCTGCTTTTAAAATATCTATAAGAGCTATCTATTTATTTTCAATATGTGAGTAAATCTTATGGGTTGAAGTTTTAAATGGTTTTAACATAAAGGGACCAGGAAGGAGCACGTTGGCGGTAGTTGAAATTCTACAGTACTGTTTTTCTTTTTTTTTTTCTTTACAATTTCTGTTTAAAGGGACACTATATCGCACTACTGAACAAGATTTTTATATTTTTATTTTTTTTGCAAAATTTGAAGCCACACCCAGTTCGCACATTTCAATTGAAGTTCACACAAATTTTCACTAAATGTATTCTATTTATATGTCAACACACCTCTTTACAATTATCACATCAAATTGTAAATGCAAGTTAAATGTATTTATTTAAACTTTAAGAGACTCACAAAATTGACTCCAGTTCTGTTACACAATAAAATCACAAAATCTGGTCTTGTTTTGTTTAAGATGTGTAGATTCAAATGATGGAATATTTTGAAATATGAAGTAAGTTTATGTCCATGTGAGTCTCTGTTTCACTGATGGGGTTGGGCAGGTATCATTGACTCTTTTTTGCACTTTTTTCTGTTTTTACTTTTATTTGTAAACTCTTTGTATAGATGTACATTAGGAACATTATTCTCGTTTGCCATAGGTGTGATTTAATGTTTTCTTTTTTTTTGTCTTTTTAAGTTAAGTGTACTGAATTTTGTAACTGCCTCGTTGTCTTTGCTCAACAGAACTGTACTGCAGGAAATAAATATAAAGTAAATTTTAACTATATAAAAACTGTGTGTGTTGTCATTATTGGGCTATTATCTATGAGAATAAAATGTGACATGGTTTTAAATATATTTATATTAGCTTTATACCATTCATGTGTTTTGGATTATTTAATTTTATCTAATAATGAAATAAGTCTTTGTCATCCTGCACTGTGAAAGCAAAAAATTATATAATACAGAAACTTTGCTAAAGATATTTTCCACTTGTCCAAAGTAATGTGAGAATTAATAAATAAATGAATAAATAAATCTTCAAAATGACTATATATATATAGGCCTATACAGATGCTGCTATATCTTTGACATGTAAATAGTTTTTTACCCTTTGTACTTGTACATAGGCTACATGTGATTAAATACAAATTTGAGGAGTATAATTAATTCAGGATAAATAAAATAACAATATTGATATTACTGTGTTAGTATCGCAAATATTCATAATAAAATAATTATACATTTATATTAGTTTTAATATAAAACAGGAGGTCAAATCATGATGGAAAGAATAACATATAATCTTAACCTGCAAGGGCACAAGTACGATGAGCAATGGGAAAAGTGGAATAAATGACACCAGCAAAACAACGTAGTATATTAAAATGTCATTACCAAATGCATGTTTAAATAAGAACCTGTAACTCCAGACTGTTCTTACATTGATATATATATATATATATATATATATATATATATATATATATATATATATATATATATATATATATTTGTGTGTGTGTGTTTTTTTGGGTTTTTTTTGTATGTTTTGAAATGTAACGTAACACTAATAAAATAAATAAAATATTGTTTTTGTTTTTTTTAAAAAGGAGGACAAATCTTCATTCAACAGCAGATGACGCTCTACGCACGTTTATAATCTGGAGCAGCCATACGCACGAAGACGAAAAACTGCTCTGTTGCATTCTGGGAAATGTTGTTCGAAATTATTCCAGCTTTAAAACGCACTTTCCGTTATAACCAGGCTTTGTTTTGAACACGACGTTACAGCGCCCTTCCAAACAAACACATAACTTTAATACTATTTCCCGAAAACTTCTAGCAGCGCCATTTTATGATATTAATTTTCTTCTGGAAGCTTCGGAGTTTAGACCGGTTTACCCACAGTGCACCGCGGCGCTTCCCTTTCTTCTCAGATTGTACAGGGTCCAAAATGTCGCTCCTGGACGGTCCCCTAAACGTGCTCGGACAGAGGATAACCGGCGAGTCCGTCCGCACGCAGAATGGTCAGTGATGTCCGCAGTCTGAGCTTTATTTTAGTCCGATAAAACTGTAGAATTGTGCGTTTTTTGTGATCAGAAACAACCAAACTCATCCATGCTGCATCACACGTGTGGCTAATGCTACCGGCTAACTTCATATCAGCTTTGTGTTGTTATTTATGGATCATAGAATATTTACGAAGTCTTTTGACACTCTTGACAAAACTGCATATCGTAATTTATCTGTGCGTTTTTATGTTTTGGCCCGTTTTAGTACCTTCCATTTGTGTGCACTGAATGGGCGGCTATGCTAATGGGCTACAGAAACACTGTCATGGTCTGAAGGTGTGGCTATTGTCTGTGAACCACGCTAAATAATATGACAGAACATATCAACAAGGCAATTTAGGATTTAGATGAAGAAATTAAACTTGTATGTAAGTGTAAATAAGAGTAGATGGTGTTATTGTCTTTTACTCGTGGTAGTTTTGAGTGTAGATGCGATGATGTCTCAGATGGAGCAGTCTGAGCCAACATCCCTGATACAAAATGATCCAGTGTCCCGTTATATGTACTCAACAACAGATGGATATAAACATTTCTACACAATAAAGTTGATGTCATCAGAGATATGCCATGTTTGAACGTGAGAAAGGGATTTCATCTAAACTACACAATTTATCATATGACTCTTTATTGACAGTCCTGTTCCAATGCATGATTTGTTCAGTCCAGTTCAGTTTCCTAATTCGTTGACCATTTAATTTATTCATTAATCATCATTATTCTGCTCTGTAGTGGTTTTTTTTGGAGTTGCTCCTTGGGAAACCAGAGCTGGTGTTTTATACTTGCAGGTTCTGTCTTGTTTAAAATGGGTTTGTTCTTTTTTACAGTCATGGCTGCAGCATCCATCGCCAACATCGTCAAAAGCTCCCTGGGACCAGTCGGTCTTGACAAGATGTTGGTGGATGACATTGGGGTGAGTTTTAGATGATTAGTTTTTGTTTTTTTGCAGTTTCAAGTATGTAAATATCCCACATGAAGAGAAGAGACATCCTTTTTAACTATGGTGACCCTAAACTGTATACCGTAATGAAATAGAAAATCTAATAATTGCTGTGTGGAATTGTAAGCCACAGTTTCTGAATCCAACTCCTCGTGGATCATCATTAAAGTGTGTTGTTTTTAGGACGTGACCATCACAAACGACGGGGCGACCATCCTGAAGCTGCTGGAGGTTGAGCACCCGGCGGCTAAAGTTCTGTGTGAACTCGCCGACCTGCAGGACAAGGAGGTCGGGGACGGGACCACCTCTGTGGTGAGTGCACATGCTTTTGTGAACTGTTTGACCCTTGAAACATTATTAGGCTCAACCCTCAACAATCTGAGAGTTTGAATTAATAACATTTGAATACAATTATGCAACCTAAACATGAACTTTTATACTAAGTAAAAAAAATAATTGTTGTTTTTCGTCGTCCTGTTTTAGTACCATGCTTCTGCTTCCTACAGATGTGTGGCTATGCTAACAGGACAAAGAAACTGTCCCTCGGTGTCTGAAGGAGTTTAGGAGCTGCTTTTTTCAAACTCCTAATGAAACGATGGCACAAACCTCAACAAGTGTGGGGTTAAAGGTTCACTCTTGTGCTGTTTCTCATGCTCTTGTCCTTGACTGTGTGATGTGCTCTCTGTGCAGGTGATTCTGGCGGCAGAGCTGCTGAAGAGCGCAGACGAGCTGGTCAAACAGAGGATCCACCCCACGTCGGTCATCAGTGGATATCGTCTGGCGTGCAAGTACGTACATGATTGAGCTTTATCTCATATATTTATGCTTTTGGATGTTTGGTCATTTGTGAGTTCTTGTGAACAGCCGTTAAAGAGTGAACCTTCATTCACGGAGTTGTAACATTGTGAGGTTTTGACTGATGGCACTTCTGTTTTGCAGGGAAGCTGTGCGCTACATAAACGAGAACCTCACAATCGCAGCAGATGAACTGGGCAGAGAATGTTTAATCAACGCAGCAAAGACGTCCATGTCCTCAAAAATCATCGGAGTGTATCCTTTATCTGGTTGTCTTGGAATGAAATTATATAGGTTTGGGAAACATGACAGTACACCTAGAATTAACAAGTTCAAAAGACTGTTATTGATTAATCTGATTGTGATTGTGCTTTGTCTTGAATGTTGCACAGTATGGCATTAAAACCATCCATCTCAATTGAGACAAGGACCAGGCCAAAGATCAGCTCTGTTGACTGGATCTTTTTTGTTTTTATTTTCTGAAATAAAAATGCTTGTAATTCATAAATGGAAGATGGATAAGTTTAATGCTATACTCTGTAACATTTTAGCAGTTGAGGTTGAGAACCCTGTTGCAGAAAAGTTACATAGTCTGCCTTTAATTGACTTGTAGCTTTACACGGTACTATATCTTTAAAACAACTGTGTGCTCGATTATGGAAAAAATCATTATTACGATTATTTTGGTCAATATTGAAATCATGATTATTGAAGCAATTATTTTTTTAATTACAAGATGCATTTATTCAGCATTTCTACCTCTCAAAAAAACACTTTATTTAAAATTCACACAAACTTTCAGACTGAAAATATAGACTACAAATATGTACTTTAGAGCAGTTTTGTGATGTAAAATAAACTTAAAATTAAATGAATTAAATAAAAATATACTTTGAACATGAAAGAAGGTAAAGAAAAAACATAAATGTATCCAAAATAAACTATATATCCAGCTGTTCTACAATCTCTATATTTAAAAATAAAATAAATGTACTCACTTATTTTAAAAAAATATCCCAAAATAAACTTTAGTAAGCTTTAAATAGTTTCAACCCGATTATATGAGTTTGAGGATTTGACACGCAAATCGAAATCGCGATCAAAATTCTATTAATTGAACAGCCTTGGTATGTGTTGTGGTAAAAATGTATAAAAATGGCAGAAGGCATTTAAATATATCCCTTAACCGGACCCTCTCAGTGATTCAGACTTCTTCTCAGACATAGTGGTGGACGCTGCCATGGCGGTGAAGTTCACAGACGGCAGAGGCATGGCCAAGTACCCCATCAACTCCGTGAACGTGCTCAAGGCCCACGGGCGCAGCCAGAAGGAGAGCTTCCTGGTCAACGGATACGCCCTCAACTGCACCGTGGGGTCACAAGGTGCGTTTGATATCCACCCCGGGACGTCTGCTGACACCTCCCATTTAATTTGCTGCGACGCCCGTCCTGGTGGCGTACTCAGTGATACGCGTGGGAGACAGGAGCATGGCTGTGGAAAGAAAAAATGCTGCATGTTTTTATAAACTGTGGCAGCTCTTTTCTGGTCAAACAATTACTTATGACTGAAAATAAGACTGACACTTTGTATTTTTTCAAATCAAATATTGGTTTTACTGATAACAATTGTATCACTGATTATTAATTATGAAATTATTTGGGGGTTATTTTGAGAACCAATCAGAAAGCAGAAAGAGCCTCACATGAGTCTCATTTCAACATTGAAATCCAGTTGGTTTAAATGTAAAATGCTTCTCTGATCTGAATGGGGACTACCTAAACCCCAGCCCCTCATGAGGCATGAGTCGGTGCTAGTGCAGCCTCTGCAGCTCAGTGAGAGAATTCTGGAGGTTTTGAGCTTTCACGTGAGGCCTGGTCTGTCCTCACTGCAAAAAAGCTTGGCCAAAGATAAGATATAAAAACTCACCGTATTTTCCGCACTATTAGGCGCTCTGGCTTATAAGATTCATTAAATGTCATTAAATGGTCTGTTTTCGAAAATTTTTCACAAATAAACTGCACCGGACTTTAAACGAAACACAATAGTTGGATGGGTCAGTGGGACTTTGTTTGGTGCGTTCACGGCGACTCTGGGCTATGATCAGTTGTGGCGTGTAGGGAGGGTGCTGTCTGGAACCGCTGGATTGTCGGCATGTTCGCAGTGACTCAGTTGTGTGTAGAAGTGACACATAGCGCTCACTTTTTCGATTCGTTCCTTCGTTCCTCGTCCATGTGGAGTGATGAGTGTGGCTGTGGGTGTTCTTCACTGCACCATCGCTGTCTGCTCCGTGTGTTTGTGTGTTCTGTGGGTGGTGCGGTTTTGTAGTTTACTGAAGTCGTGCTGGGACACCCAAGTGGATTTGTGTATAGGGCGCTCTGGATTGTGGGGCATGCAATCGTTTTTTGATGGGGTTGGAGCCTTAAGAGCGCGCCCAGTAGCTCGGAAAATACGGTAAATCTATCAGTAAATGACTTAAAAGTAGTGAAATTACCTATCCATGCAGCAAGATCATTTTACTTGACAAGTTATCTTAAAATAAACTACCTCTAGACAAGAATTAAGCAGTATCTGGTGGATAACATGATATAAGTTTTAAAATCTTGGCCCAATCAGAAAAATGGGAACGAGTCAAACTTGGACTCTGTCTGCAGGTTAAGGCTCTGCACACACAGTTTCAGTTGTGACTATGATATAACCAGCTACATACACTTTATTTTAGGGCAGAATAAATGCTTATCAAAAACACGTAAATTAAAAAGTGTACCCTACAATAAAACGTTACCAAATGATGAACTTTTACGTAACTCTCTGTTGTGTCTGTGAAGGGATGGTGAAGCGTGTGGTGAACGCTAAAATCGCCTGTCTGGACTTCAGCCTGCAGAAGACCAAGATGAAGATGGGCGTCCAGGTCATCATCAACGACCCCGAGAAGCTCGACCTCATCAGACAGAGGTGAGAGGTGCAGTCCAAAACTATGTCTCCGCCGTCTCGATCAAGAGCCTTTCAAACCTGTTCCCATTAAATTTGCTGTGAGTCTCGGTCAGTAGTTTTCACAGTGATACGCGTGGGAGAAAACATGAGCAGTCCAAAGTCAAAACCTCCTCCAGCTCCTGTAGCTGTTGGAGCACTTTTATGGACTGGACAACCTCAAAACATGAACTTAAAGGTGTACTGTGTACTGCTTTGTCCTGAATTTTCCACTGCCTTAGACTCACCTCTCCATACATCTGGCTCGTAACTTGACCTGATGAATCCCCTGCTCACCTCTGTCCAGTTAGATGGATAAGTTTAATGCCCTACTGTGGAACATCCCGGCAAATACAATATCATCTCCATAAAGAAAAGTTGCGTCGTGCGTCTTTTAAAGGTGCATTGTGTAACTCTTTTGGTGAAGAGTCCTTTTCTCATTTTCGTTTTCCTCGTGGAAATGTTATTGCTTTGACTGGAATGTGTCACAGTGTGGCATTAAACATTTTTTTTAATCATCATGGAGATCAAACTAGGCCAAGTTACAGGTCAGATCTGTGGAGCAGAGGTGGGACCAAGTCGTTGTTTTGCAAGTCTCAAGTAAGTCTCAAGACTTTGACCTCAAGTCCGAGGCAAGTCCAAGTCTTGAGTCACTGGCCCATAAGTCCAAGTCGTCTGCTTTGAGCTTCAAGTCATTTCAAGTTTTTAAAGGGCCCATCTCATGCGGAGGTGGTGGAGCGGGTGCGAAGCCCTTTCTGCTAAGTCAACAGCGTCATCGGTGTATTGGCCACATCATCGTTGTAGCAGCTTTAGTTCGTTGTCACGTGGGAGGGTGGCAGAAATACGCTGCAATTTGTTAAAAAAAACACAGAATCAATCTAAAAACCACTTCAGCGACAGATACAAGGCCCACACATCACTCTTAGAAGGTAGAAAGCTCTGAAAAGTAGATTTTTGCATGAGATGGGTCCTTTAAATTAAACTACCAAATATATCAGGTTTTTGCAGTTTATATGACTTTTAAACTAAATTGTACTTAAAAAGTCATGGTATATTTATATATGAATATTTATATTAAAGTTGTCAAAACATTTAAAAAGGAAAAATTCACTTTTCTACAAGAGTGCCAATTATTACAGTCAAAACTGAAAGGATTAAGATTTAAGAGTGCTTAATAAGTTTATTTGTCAACTAGTCTAAGCATCAAGTCTTCTCAAGTCAGAGTCAAGTCCCAAGTCACTGGCCTTCAAGTCCAAGTCGAGTCCCAAGTCTTTGTCTATTTTAAGTGTCAAGTCCTAAAAATAGTGACTTAAGTCTGACTCGAGTCCAAGTCACGACCTCTGCTGTGGAGAGATGACACCGTTCAGTAAGAATGTTTGTTTTTCTGGGTATTTTTGAGCTATAAAGCCACCTGTAATTGAAGAAATATAAGGTAGAGCTGTTTAATGTCATACTGTGGAACATTCTAGGCAGAGCAGTGACATCTCCATAGAAACGAGAAGGTGACAGACCCAATCAGAAAGTTACATAGTACACCTTTAAGTATATTTATAATTGCACTGTAACATTATCACTTTATGTTCTGTGAGAGTAAATATATTAATAGTTTTTAAGGTTTGCATTGTGGTTATTCTTGGTTTTCCTCTCTACTCTCCGCACATAAAACCAACTTGGATTTAAATTTCAATCAATACTTTTATCTAATCTAGAGAGTCCGACATCACCAAGGAGAGAATCCAGAAGATCCTGGCGACGGGTGCCAACGTGGTCCTGACCACCGGGGGCATCGACGACATGTGCCTCAAGTACTTCGTGGACGTGGGCGCCATGGCGGTGAGGCGGGTGCTGAAGAGGGACCTGAAACGCATCGCCAAGGCCACGGGAGGTGAGGAGGGAAAGAAACATCTGCGCGGCTTATGTTTATGTCTGTGTTTACGCGCACGCCAGAAATGTGATCTGATTGTCTGATTTCTGGAGTTATGTGATTATTTGGAACGTCTAGGCCTGTCACGATAAATCCTAGATCGACTTTTCATTCAAATTAGGTGAACATTACTTTTTGGGGGTCAGTATTTATCGTGGGAAATTTTTCTTTGTACTCGTGGGAAAATAGTGGTTGTTATTCTGTTTATTACAAAGATTTGAGCTGTAGAAAGTTAAATTTTGAACTTTTATGACTCATAGATACAAATGAACTTAAGTTTTGCTTTCTTTTATTAATCACAGCTCATATTTCTTAACAGTATTGTACATTTTGAATTCTTTTTTGTGGAACTGAGTTTTGTGGATTATCCTACTTTATGGTTTGTTTTCAGGATTATCCATATTTACTTACAGCAATATATCATATTTTTTGGACTAAGGCACAATATCAATAATGTTGAATTCTTTCATCTATTTTCATACATAAATTGCACCGGATTATAAGGAGCATTAAGTGAAACAAATGGACGACACTTGAGTCTGATCCTTAGTCCAGGCGTCCTCGATCCATTGGCAGATCGTGGCGTAATTCACCTGGTGTTGCCTCTCTGTCTTGGTGAATATGGATTATGAATGTGGGTGGATCATTTAAGTCTTTTTTTTTCAACTCAGATATACAATGAGTAATAATGTGTTTAATGCAGCTTTGTGCACATTTGTTTACATTTTACAGAAACAAACCTGAAACGGATTATAAGGCGCACTGTCAATTTTTGAGAAAATTAAAGGATTTTACGTGCACCTTATAGTCTGAAAAATACATATATATCCCAAATGTGTTATCGTGACAAGCCGTGAACTGCCAGGTAAACAGTTGCATCTTACGTAAATAATCTGATATCTTTCTGATTGTTCACGCCAGTGCAAAGACAAAAAATTAAAGAAAAAATGTTAGAGTGAGTTTAAAATGTTATTTTAAAATCCATTGTACTTAGTCTTCAAAATCCTACAGTTCCTCTAAAATTCACGGATTCACTGACACAGATCAAATTTCTTTTATGCTGTAAACACACCAAAATCATATGTAATTATTGGGTTATCTGATTATTCTAGTTATCTGGTTTTTAATAAAGATGTTGATGTGTCGTAGCCACCGTGTGCTCGTCCCTGAGTAACCTGGAGGGGGAGGAGACGTTTGAGGCCACCATGCTGGGCCAGGCCGAGGAGGTGGTCCAGGAGAGGATCTGTGACGACGAGCTCATCCTCATTAAGAAGTAAGACCTCAAAATCTTTATCTCTATATCAAGGTTGTCCAAACTGTGGCCCGGGAGCCAAATGTAGTGCTCAGATTTTTGTTAACCCTCATTCTTCCTGCTGATTTGGCCAAATGGCAGTACTTTCTTCCAGAAATTTAAGTATTAGTACCACTATAATGTCCATAACATCACATAAATCAGGCATACAGACATTTTTTAACAGTAACCCTTTCCCTCGTCTCCTCCAGTACCAAAGCGCGCACGTCCGCCTCCATCGTGCTGCGCGGGGCCAATGACTTCATGTGTGACGAGATGGAGCGCTCGGTTCACGACGCCCTGTGTGTGGTCAAGAGGGTGCTGGAGTCCAAGTCTGTGGTGCCAGGAGGGGGCGCTGTGGAGGCCGCTCTGTCCATCTACCTGGAGAACTACGCCACTAGTATGGTAAGAACCGGGCTATTTAAGTTTATCTCAGTGTTTTTCCCTGTTTCAGTTTCATTCAGACAAATTGGTGAAGACCCTTTAATAAATAAATAAATAATAGAACATAAGCTTTCATTGAATCTTCTTTACATATAATCCAAAGTGTATTTTACTGAAAAAGCTATGACTAATCTCTGTGTTTGAACCAAATGGCGCTCACAAGACACAAGTATTTATTAGGGGTGTGCAAAATATTTAAATATTAAAATATCGTCATATCGTATTGTTTAATGGGATGAAACTGTATCGATATCATGGGCTGCTGTATCGATATATCACCAAGAATATTTTTTGGTTATATTTTGCTAAATAATTTTTCTACAGTGCTGCAGTTTGTTGCTTGTTCAGAGGAAGGACACTGTATGCAGCACATTTGACATTTTCACTGTTTTGATGATTTTAAATGTTTGTGTTTCATATGAACTTTGCTTAAGAAGTGGTTTAACAAAGACTTTTATTATCACAGCCATGATTTGAACCATATTGAATCAGTTTGACAAATCACATTGAATCATATCGAATCATAAGCTCATTGTATTGAGATATGTATCGTATCATGGACTGTTTATCGAGGTATGTATCATAACAGCAACTTCTGAATGATACCCAACCATAATATTAATACAGAAAAAGACAAATTCCATTTTTGAACAATGTTTATGCTGCCTTTTTACATATTAATACATGACAATACCAAATTTTCAACTCGCTCACCATTGTTTACAGACATTTTATTGATCCTGAGAGAAATTAGTTTTGTTACAGTTGACATTGCGACAACAAAAGACAGCAGCAACTCAAATGTTTAATAGCTGAATAAATAGCTGGCTCCTTCACTCATTTCACAAAGTCCAACTGTCCCTTCCTTGTGTCCTTTGAACTGCACATGCTACACTTCTTAGTTGGTTAATATCCCATGACAGGATGTTAAAAACTGAGCTTAAATAAAACATTTCAAAAACTGCTCTGTGTGTGAGCCAGCCAGCCACAAGAGCAGCCACCAGAAAAGTTGTTTAATAATGTAAATAATACACAAGACACAGATGAATCCAACAGCAGTAGTTTGTTTGCACGGTCCATGTCCATCCAGTTTGGAAATATTTTAGACAGTACTGTGGTTAAAGATGCACTATGTAACATTTTTTTGGTGGAGGTCGGCTGCCTTTTTGTCTCCATGGAGATGTTATTGCTTTGCCTAGAATGTTCCTTGTTGTGATACTAAAATTTCACTCACTACTTCGATAGTAAAACTGTGTAACATTCTTGGTACAACAATAACGTCTCCATGGAAATAACATCATCACCTTTTTTAAAATTATCAAATTTTTCCAGTTTTTCCAGCCTGCCACTTTTTGAGCGTCAAACGTATTGTTGTTTTCTACTTAAATTGAATTGTGTGTTGATGATTGTACTTTTCCTGTCCAGGGCTCCAGAGAGCAGCTGGCCATCGCAGAGTTCGCCCGCTCCCTCCTCGTCATCCCCAAGACTCTGGCCGTGAACGCCGCTCAGGACTCCACTGACCTGGTGGCCAAACTCCGAGCCTTCCACAACGAGGCGCAGGTCAACCCGGAGCGCAAGAACCTCAAGTGGTAAGACGAGAACACTACACTGCTCTCAGATAAGACATAGTCACAGCAGTTGCAGTAGTAGAATAGTTAAGAAAACAGCTTTTTGTTTTGAATATGATTTGACTTAGAGCTGTTCGAACTTTAACTATTGTAAATATGAGTTGGAGAGAGTGGAAATTGTACAAAACAGTGTCCCTATGTGCTCTTATTTTCTATACAACGTGCTAACCCTCAGATTATAAAATGGATAGTAGAGTTCCTGTTTTGAATGACAGTGGACTCTCGTTTATCGCAGGAGTTACAATCTACCTTTTGTTATTTTCTTCCTTTATGTAACGAACCGAAGATTAATTTATTTCATAATGGCGCCCTAAAGCCACGTAACTTCTACCTTTCTTCAGTGTGTCCAGAAGTCCAACTTTTTGTGTGATGGTTTGTGTCTTCCTCTGCCTTTTGGGTGCGACCGCAGGAGCCTTTGTCAGTGCAGAATGTTTCGTTTTCGTACATTGTGGGTTTTGTTGGGGAGAAAATTTGCAAACATACAGCACTTCAGAACCACACTGCTAGAGATCAAACATTTATGTACATTTTGAGTGTATGTGCGTTCATAAGCTGTAAAAAAAAAAAAAAAAAAAAAAAAAGGCTGTGAAAGGTGAATCGTGTTATAGGGAGGGACGACTGTATTTAACTGTAAACCAAACGATGGATTTGACTGACTTTTATGAAGAATAGCCCCGGACAATTACTAGTATTTACAAAACCTCTTGGCATTATAATAGTTAAGCAACTCACATTAAAAAATTAAAATATCGATATATCCTATTGTTTTAATGTGCTGATACAGTATCTATATTGTGGGCTCCTGTATCGATATATCGCCAAGAGTATTTTTTGGTATATTTTACTAAATTTTGTTAGAGAGCTACATGATTATTACATTGATGATTAAAATGTTTGTTTCATATGAACTTTGCAGAAGAAGTGGTTTAACAAAGACTTTTAGTGTCACAGCCATTTTTTAATTAACCATATCTAATCATTTTGAAATATATTGTATTGAAAGTGCACTGTATCGAGATCTGTATTGTATCGACAACTTCTTAATGATGCCCAGCCCTAGAATTTGTATAATTTTTTGGCAATCTAGAACTTTTTACTATCTTAAACGTGAATCTGGACCAGTGTAGATGGTTTAAAATCAACCATTAATTAAATGCGAGGAATAATTTGTTTGGAACACATGAATTTTAGGGCTTTTCGGAATAATGTGGACTTTTGCCGTTACTGTAAAAAAAAAAAACACAATATATCTGTACTTGGTATAGATGGGCCCTTTAATAGAACATAAGCTTTCATCGAATCTTCATTACTTATAACCCAAAGTACTGCTGTTTATTTTCTATTCTCACCACCCCTTTTCTTCGTTTTGTGTCTTTAGGATCGGCCTGGACCTGATCAACGGCAAACCGCGCGACAACAAGCAGGCGGGCGTCTACGAGCCCACCATGGTCAAGACCAAGAGCCTCAAGTTCGCCACCGAGGCCGCCATCACCATCCTCCGCATCGACGACCTCATCAAGCTCTTCCCCGAGCCCAAGGAGGGAGGCGGCTCGTACAGGGATGCCCTGCAGTCCGGCTCCCTGGAGGGCTGAAGTCCAAGTCCGGTCTTAGGTCCTGTTTCGTTTCTGTATCTGTATTTATACATCTGTAGTGTTCGCTCCGCACTTGCCTGTTTACTGATGATCTGTTGCTCTCACTCAGACTGTAAGAGATTTTTGTTTAGGACGTTTAAGAAAATAAAAGCCCCAACGGTTGTGAACGACCGTTGGAAATGACTGAACGTCTCTGTTTCATGTTATTTTATTGTACATAATTGAGGTTAGTAAGAAAAATACAAGATTTATTTCACTTGTGGCACTTTGCAGAGTTGGTCTAAACATTGAGAAATTACAGGAATGTTAAAATGCATGAAGGGTTAGTCACATAAATACAACATAACTACTGGGTTACAGATGACATAACATTGCATAGGTCTGCAGATTCAAGGAGAAAAGGGCAAGAAATATTTTATTCTGAGTCTGAGAAAACCAGAGAACATTTGGAAACATGCGGATGATGATTAGTAACTCTCAAAATCTGGAAAAACAGAAAACGGCTCAGTTTTCTTCATCTAAACACCTTTGTATTCTTTTTTCCTTTAATAAATTGCCCATTAACTTGTGTATTTATAATTTGTCTAACTTAATAAGAAATGAAAGATATTGTAGTGTTCCGTAATATTCAGCAGATAAAGTTACGACCAGCTGTCTGTAAGTGACATCGAAAACCCGCCGCTGCTAAGTCCACGGTTTAGTTGGTTAAAATCCCGTGACAGGATGTTAAAAACTGAGCTCAAAGAAAACATTTCAAAAACTGCTCAGTGTGTGAGGCAGCCACCACAAAATTAGTTCGATCTTTAATCATGTAAATCAGGGGTGTCCAAACTTTTTTCATCAAGGGCCACATTTCTAAACACAGACGAAGCAGAGGGCCGATCGAGGGCCATAGACTGGTGCTCAGTACAGAGAATAATTAAAATGTGCATGTTTAACACGTTAGAATGAACTGTATGTCTTTATTCATGCCAAGATCCTTAAAACCACACACTAAATATTAAATATTGGCTTTATCAAGGTAGATTTTCAAAAAACTTGCAGTAAAAAGTAAATTTTTCACTGATGCAAGGCAATTTGGGCCAATTCACCTGGAAGCCTGAGGGCCAAGAAAAATTGTCTGAGGGCCGCATTTGGCCCATGGGCCGTAGTTTGGACATGCCTGATGTAAATAATACACATTTGCTTAGAATTTTCAATGTTCAACAATATTCAGCAGATAAAGTTATGACCAGCTGTCTGTGACATCGAAAACCGCCACTGCTAAATCCATGGTTTTATCACATTCAAAGTGTCAGTAACTACACCGTAAGACGTCATCCGCACGTTTCCAGACGTTTTTTTTGGCGAATATAACATAAATAAAGCCCAATGAATTGGTCTTGTTCCTAAAAATTTACTGTGGATTATCTCTTTGAAAGCTCCGTGTAGTTCATTATTTGCTCCTGCCCCCATCTGAGAAAATGACATCGCGTTATTTCAACCTGGCAACCCGTTAAAAGCTTCTATTCACAATTACAAGTTATTTAAGAAGTTAAATTAAACTCTGTATGCATCACATTTAAAATAACATTCACTTTACTCCATATATAGCATTTTAATTAATCAGTAAAATAAGGTTTATGGCTTCACAACATTAGTTTGACTCAACAGTTATAAAGCCTTTAAGAGCGTTCAGCCTTCACGATGGACTCGGGATGTAACGATATCCAAATCTCACGGTACGATATTTACTGCGATACTTTGAAGAGGCTGATATAATTGTAGATGGGACACTTTTTTGCTTTTAAAATCCCTTGACAAGATTCTGGTGTGAATTATTTCCATCATAATCCCAAGAATTCAAGTAAAAAACATTTCTTCACGTTGTCTGCGCTGAAATGCATCATGGGATATGTAGTTCCCGATGTTTAAAAGCCGTTGCTACTGTAAAACCATGCATTTAAGCAAAGAAACTTATGATTCGATATATTGTGAGACTTTTGATGATACAATTTCACGATATTTCGGTTATCGTTACATCCCTAAAATGGACACAAACATTTCAAACCGCAGTTACATTAGAAGTAAGACAGGTCGAGCTACTTTTATGTATTGCTATAAGTAAAAGTTAAATCTTAAAGGTGTACTATGTCCTTTTATTGTAGAGCGTCCGCCACCTGCTCGTCTCCAATGTTTTGTCTTCAGTGATCTTCAGTAAATAGCATTAAAATTATCGATCTTTAAGTAGACAAGCCCACTTTTGGTAAGACTGCATGGTTTTCACTGTATTTTTTTTTTCTTTTCTTGGCAATAAAACATCTGTAGTTGAATAAATGCCAGATAAACTTATTGTGGAACGTTCCAGGTAGTCACATCCGCGGAACAAGCTGCGAAATCTTTAGCTAAATTCAAGTTGAGAGAAAAGCACAGGTATCTTTCCCTTCACAAATGCACGAAGCACAAATGCACGTTTCCCTAAATTCTATTAAAATAAAATCCGTGTATAATTCGTTTATTCATTTTTCAATATAAAACCAAAAATAAGAAAATGAAAAAAATACTATTTTCTTCATTATTTGTCTCCAAAACCAAAATGTAAAAAAACGATAATGATTTGTTTTTTCAGTTTTCACTTTTGTGGGAAAAAACGGATAACGGACGTTTCCCTTTTCCGTGACTTAAACTGCGATGCCGGACTGAACCAGGACTAAACCGGTTCCGGGACCAGACTGTGCTCGAGATTGGGACTGAGACCGATACTGAGATTGGGACCAGACGAGGACCAGACCGGGACTGAGACCGGGATTCAGACAGGGACCAGACCAGGACTGAAAATGGCTTAGTCATGGCTTAGTCCTGGTTTAGTCCTGGTTCAGTCCATATGCGGTGCAAAAGTCCAGCATCGCAGTTTAAGTCACAGAAACAGGAAATCCGTTTTTTTCCATTATTCATTTAAACACAAAATCAAAAACTTAAAAAATTAATCGTTATCAGTTTTTTCATTTTGGTTTTGGAGACAAATAATGAAGAAAATAGTTGTTTTTTCATTTTCTTAATTTTGGCTTTATATTGAAAAATGAATGAACGAATTATACACGAATTTATGTATGTCAGCGCCGCCGTGTTTGTTTTGGTTTGTTCAGCGCTGGTTTCTTTGCAAACACTTCAGGAGGAGCTGTTACACCTTTAAAACATTTATATATTCGATACTTGGTTGATACACTAAGCCACATTGAGCGTGAACCTGAGTAAAATCACGTTATTCCCGACAATTCCACAGTGAAGCAGCGTTACAGTAAACATAATTATCCCTCATTTTTGTAAACACATTTCCCAGTATTTCCCCGCACTCCCACGGCTGAAGTGCACATGCCCGTAGATGTTGGACGCGTTAGACGGTCTGGACGCACATGGCGATGCCCATCCCTCCTCCGATGCAGAGAGAGGCCACGCCCCTCTGCCCCCCGGTCCGCTGGAGGGCGTGGAGCAGCGTCACCAGCACCCGGCACCCAGACATGCCGATAGGGTGCCCCAGGGAGATGGCACCACCGCTCACGTTCACCTGGGAATGGACAAAGAAAAAAAGAGAAATAGCAAGGTGGTACTTTAATATGGAGAGCATTGAGTGAATGACAGATTTAGGCATTATTAAGGCATCTAGAATCTTTATAATTTAATTAAAACAGTATTAATAAATCTCTTATAACTCTTCTAAGTGCATAATTATTTTTCTATATTTCTATATTTATTTAATACTATTATATTTATTTTATTTTTCTAGCATATTTATTTAATTTTATATATATATATATATATATATATATATATATCATTTATTTTAGCATATTTTTTTTTATTTTTCTAGCATATTATATTTTAGAATAATATATTTATTTTATTTTTCTAGCATATTATACTTATTTTAGCATATATTTATTTTTTAATTTTTCTAGCATATTATTTCTATTTTACCATATTATATTTATTTTATTTTTTCAGCATATTATATTTATTTTATCATACTATATTTATTTTATTTTTCTATCATATTTTTATTTTATCATACTATATTCATTTTATTTTTCTAGGATATTATGTTTATTTTTCTATAATTTTTGTGGTAGCACTATTTTTTTAATGCACAGCGATCATGTTCAATTTGTAATGTTGTAATAAGATGGAGGCTTTAATATAAAGCCCCTTGTGTTTTTTTGCCTCTTCCGGCACCTAATTTTTTATCTAGTGTGTGTGTTTTTTTTATTGATATGTTATACGTGCAAAATTATTTATTTATTTTTATCAATAAAGTGTTATGGGTGTTTGGTTTTTTTTGAGAGAGAGAGAGAAATGCAGAATAAATGCATCGTGCAACAAAAAAATAATCGTTTGAATAATCATGATAATGATCTTTTCCATAATCAAGCAGCCCTACAACTACCACATCAAAACCTGAAACTAAAACTCAAACTAAACCAAATCTACATTAGACTGGGGCCAAACCATGACAAGTGTAACAATACATGTACTGCAGTGGGATTTCCTACAGAATAATTTAATTTAATCAAGCAAATGGACCACACACATGGATCGGCATGAACATAAAGATGACTTAACCCTGCTTTAGTTTAGACTTGGCTCTTTTTTAACATCTTGAAGTCTTTTTCCCAGTTCAGGACAATTTGTTTTTAAAGTTTTAAAGTCTATAACCAGAAGAATCTTACCTTATCCACATTCAGGCCAAGCTCTTTCACCACAGCGATGGACTGAGCAGCGAACGCCTCGTTGATCTCAAACAAGTCGACCTGCTCCAGCTTCCAGCCCGCCTTCTCAACCTGGAACATTCACAGTCAGACTCACTCAGTACGACAGACAGGAGGATTTCAGGAGTAGTAGTAGTAGTAGTAGTAGTAGTAGTAGTAGTAGTAGTTCTTACAGCCTTTCTGATGGCAGGTATGGGCCCTGTCCCCATGATGGAGGGGTCCAGTCCAGCCTGAGCCCAGGACACCACCCGGGCCAGAGGTTTGAGTCCTCGGCTCTGAGCCTCAGACTGACTCATGAGGACCACAGCTGCTGCTCCGTCATTTATACCTGAAAATCAGACACAAAACTGAGTGGAATGTGTTCAAAAGTGTTTCTGATAGATCTGTGAAATGGTTTTATTGTCAGTCCAAAATCGCCTGATATGAAATAAACTTCTACTAAAACATGAAAATGTGTTTGGTACCTGAAGCGTTGCCGGCCGTCACAGTCCCAGTGTTGTCTTTGATAAAACAGGGTCTGAGTTTGGACATAGTCTCCATGTTACTGCCATGTCGAGGGAACTCATCCACCTTCACCTCCACCGGACCTGCACACGGAGACAAACATGATAGAAACAGTAAAATTCTGGACAACTCAAAGAGAAGGAACCCAAACCCTTAACCGTAAAAACAATGACACAAAAAGCAATTGTTTATCAATTTAATGGAAGCTTTGTTTAACACCTTTATACATGATTTTTGTAATATATTTTTATTATTTTGTACTTTTTATAGTCCACATCCATAGACATAATAAGATAAACCCACAGCGTTCAGCTCCAGTCAAATGAGGCTCGCGATGCAAACGGTTACGGGAGCAAATTTAGATCCAGGCTCTATGTTATGAATAGGATTTTTTGACGGACAAAACAGCAAAAAAAACAACAACCCCAGGATCATGTAGAGTAGATTAAAATGAACATTTTAAGACCAAAATGATGAGGCTCACAGCAGCATTTATAGAGGAAGGGGTGACAATATTCCAATGTAAGTCAATCGGAGCCAGAGTCAGAAGGAGCCGGAAGAGTCTGCACGCGAACTTCATGTTTCGAACGTTGCAGCTAGTGCATAATATACAGTCTATGTTCACATCCAAATATGCATTCTTTTAATTTAATTTAAAATGAATGGTAAATCAATAAATGGATAACATGCTGAAAATATATTATATGTAAATAAATATATTTTATAGTATATATTGCTCAGCATACACTTTTATTTAATTTATCTATAACGTAACTCAATCACTCAGAATCATGCTGCTAGATCAAAATGGCTGCAGATGACCTCACCTTTCCGCGACGGGACCAGAACCGGGACTATCTCTGGATCAAAGTGTCCGGCCTTCTGCGCAGCCTCAGTCCTGTTCTGAGACTGAACCGCGAACTTATCCTGCTCCTCCTTCGTCACGCCCCACTGCTTCGCTACGTTCTCCGCTGGAAAACAGATTCGACAAAAGCATTACAATTCATTAACAGACTTTAGATATATGCCATTTATCCATATAATTTAAGTGACTGCACCTGATTTTTTCATGTAATAAAGTACAATTGGGTTTGGTCAGATTTATTTTCTGTGTTTAAGGCAGGTGAAAATCAGGTACAGCTCTTTTGTTTCACATTTGGCACCTGTTATTCCCATGTGGTAGTTGTGGAACGCGTCCGTCAAACCGTCCGCCACCATCGAGTCCTGCAGTGAGGCGTCGCCCATCTTCACTCCAGCTCTCATCTGGACTGTGTGAGGGGCCTGGGGCAAGAAGAAACATTATTTACAATTTAAAAAAAAAAATCAATTTAACATAATATACATAAAAATACAGACAGAGGAACTCATTCTCCAAAAGGTTTCTACAGCACTGCTCAAACAGGGAAAGATACAGGACTATAGTCATAATATAATACTCCCTACAACTGTACAACAACTCATCTTTATGTAACAGATAATACTCCCTACAACTGTACAACCACTCGCCCTTATGTAACAGATAATACTCCCTACAACTGTACAACTCACCCTACGTAATAAATAATGCTCCCTACAACTGCGCATCAACTCACCCTTATGTAACAGATAATACTCCCTACAACTGTTCTACAACTCACCCTTATGTAACTGATAATACTCCCTACAACTGTACTACAACTCACCCTTATGTAACTGATAATACTCCCTACAACTGTACTACAACTCACCCTTATGTAACTGATAATACTCCCTACAACTGTACTACAACTCACCCTTATGTAACTGATAATACTCCCTACAACTGTACTACAACTCACCCTTATGTAACAGATAATACTCCCTACAACTGTTCTACAACTCACCCTTATGTAACTGATAATACTCCCTACAACTGTACTACAACTCACCCTTATGTAACTGATAATACTCCCTACAACTGTACTACAACTCACCCTTATGTAACTGATAATACTCCCTACAACTGTACTACAACTCACCCTTATGTAACTGATAATACTCCCTACAACTGTATGACAACTCACTTTGTAACAGATAATACTTCCTACAACTCCTCCTTATGTAACAGATAATACTCCCTACAACTGTACAACTCACCCTATGTAATAAATAATGCTCCCTACAACTGCGCATCAACTCACCCTTATGTAACAGATAATACTCCCTACAACTGTATGACAACTCACTTTGTAACAGATAATACTCCCTACAACTGAACAACCACTCGCCCTTATGGAACAGATAATACTCCATACAACTCCTCCTTATGTAACAGATAATACTCCCTACAACTGTACAACAACTCAGCCTTATGTAACAGATAATACTCCCTATAACAACTCACACTTATGTAACAGATAATACTCCCTACAACTCCTCCTTATGTAACAGATAATACTCCCTACAACAACTCACACTTATGTAACAGATAACCCTATGTCCTGTCAATCATTCTAGCATTTTTGCACTGTTTTCTTATGACTTCTTGTATTTATTACTTATTTTTCTATTTTATTTTGACTTTGTGTGACCTGTTTGCTTTTTTGCTACTTATTTAGAATTTATTATTACCATTTATATTTTTGCTCTTTGTTATTATATTATATTGTGATGTGTGGATCAATACAGTTTGTCTAAGTCTAAGTCTAGTACGTCTCCTTTAAGTGTCTCCTGGTTGACCGAATGTCTGACCCGGCTCATGCTCTCCATCCCTCCGGCCACCACCACAGAGGCCTCCCCCGCCTGGATGGACTGAGCCCCCAGACACACGGCTTTGAGTCCAGAGCCACAAACCATCTGACAGCTCCAGGCCGGGACCGCGTAGGGGATACCGGCCCCGACGCTGGCCTGCCGCGCCGGGTTCTGACCGCTACCTGAACACACGCAAAAAAAAAAAAAAAAAGTGCAGAAATGTTTAAGAATGTTTAAAATGCCAAAATGGAACAGGTACAGGTAAGTGTTGGACTAGATGTAAACCGAGTCACCCAAACCCGTATTGAGAGTAACGTGTATGTACTAGACAGGTGACAAGTAATCAGCTCATTTTGAAAACATGAAATGGAAGCAAATACCCTTACAGTGAAAAAGTGGAAGGAGAGAATGTTGGAGAGAGTGCGCTTTTGGTTTGATACGATATATTTCAAACTGTTTTGCTATAGTTAAAAAAAATTATGTCTAAATCAAGGCTGTGATACGAAAAAATCTTTGTTAAATCAATATAAAACACAATATTACTCCACATATTACTTACAAAGAGGACACAGATATAACAATCACAGAGACCCATTTGTGAGCCTTACAGTGTCTTTTAGTGACATTTTCAGATCATTATCATATTGTGAGTTTAACAAGAGTCTCATTAAATTAGTCTGAATGTAACCAGGACTAAAACAGCCCCTGGTTTGGCTCTGGGGCTCCGGAGTGGACCTGAAAATACCTGCAGTGAGGACATGTCCCATGATGACCTCAGAGACGTCCCCCGGTTGGACTCCCGCCCTCTTCAGAACGTCCTTCATGACCACTGTCCCCAGCTCATGGACAGGCACGCTGGACAGGGAGCCATTCAAGCACCCTGGGAGATACAACACGATTCAAAACAATGAAAAATAAATCATAAAGTAAGATAAGAATAGTAAGCAGAGGTGGCGACCTGCAAGTCATGACTTGGACTCGAGTCAGACTTCAGTCACTATTTTTAGGACATGAGACTTGACTTGATAAAATGGACAAAGACTTGGGACTCGACTTGGACTTGAAGGTCACTGACTTGGGACTTGACTTGGACTTAGGGCCTGTGACTTGAGAAAACTTGAGAAGCACTTTTAAATCTGAATTCTTTCTATTCTGACCGTAATGATTCACTCCAAGATCTTGTCAAAACATTTAAAAAGGAAAAATTTACATTTCTACAACATTTATATACTCATATATAAATATACTATGATTTTTTTTAAGTACAATTTAGTTTAAAATTCATATAAATTGCAAAAATCTAAACTATACTTACATACTTTAAAGACTTGAAATGACTTGAAGCTCAAAGCAGACGACTTAGGACTTGACTTGGATTTATGGAACAGTGACTCGGGACTCAACTTGGACTTGCCTTTATTAGACTTGGGGCTTGACTCGGACTTGAGGTCAAACACTTGAGACTTACTTGAGACTTGCAAAACAACAATTTTGTCCCACGTCTGATAGTAAGTATGTAAAAAAGTAAGATGTATTTAAAAATTAAATGTAGACTATATAATTCTTTACATAAACTATAGAAAAAAAACAACCAGACATTCCTATTTACCCAGGACAGTCCCAGTTTTGAGCCCTGTGTCCCCTGTCCCTGCAGATTTATCCAAAACCATTAATGTGTCCCAGTTTTATACAAGAAATGTCCCAGTTGTCCCTATTTTTAACCAGTTTGATCCCTGCCAACAGTAAAGAGAGGCATAAACTATCATTTGTTTAGATAAAATACAAAAAAGCTGCTTAAAAATGACAAAAACACAAAGAAAATGTGACTATAATGCCTTAATAATAATGTTCCTTAATTACGCACTCGAGTCACAATTTTATTATTATAAACCACCACAAAATCTTGGTGAACAAAGATTATATTTTCATAACAATAATAATTTAACACGAATAAATGCCAAATACAGTAAATTAATTAATAAAAGTATCAAATTCCCCAATGTAAATAGAAAGACTTCGCCTCTTTTCGTGACCCCTTCGCGACACTTTACGTCTGGCCAATCACAGGCGGCTCGCGCTGTGTCGCACTATGACTCTCGGCCATTCAGAGCCCGAGTTAGACCTGCGGCTCAGCAGGCAGCCAATCAGAGCCCGAGTTAGACCTGAGGCTCAACAGGCAGCCAATCAGAGCCCCGCATGACACGGCGTACTTGTCTTCAATTAACCACATTAACGCGATGAATGAAAAGCAGCAGATTTTGGTTATTTTGATAAACTGTTTTAAATAAATAATAGGAAGAACGTGGTGCAGGAAATAGTAACTGAAAACGACGTTAAAAGCAATTTTGTGTGTGAATTCCGTACGTAAATGACAAAAACATGCGGTAAAAAGACGTGTTTTCGTTACCAATCGGTGTCCGCGCGGCAGAGACGATGACCACGGGCTCGGAATTCATTTTGGTGTAAGTCTGTGGAGTCTTTCACGTGCAGAGCCTGTAGTGTCCAGGTAATGTCCCGTAATGTCCCTGTCCTGTGTCCAGTGTCCACAGTGAAGGAGCTGCCTGACAGGACCAGGACAACTCAGCGTGAGGAGTGACGTGGAACCCTAGAGAGAGTACGTCAACTGCCGGCGCGAAACAGGCCGCCATTTTGGGACTGTAGGAAGTGTTGCATTTTGGCGAGTATGTCCACTGTACATTTATATCAAAGTAATTCAATGTAGCGACAGGAGTGTTTTTGAATAAAAGAAATCTGAACTAGATATACTCTTTGTGTTTACTTTACAAATTTTACCTTAAAGGCCCTGCGCCTGATTTGTTTCCATGTACTTGAACACACTTAGACTTATTTTACAGTGGACTCACTTTGTCACTGCATCCAACAGATCAGTGTGTGGATGCAAAACAACTTTCTCCAGCTAAACTCTGACAAGACTGAAGTCATAGTGTTTGGTCCACAGAAACAAAGGGACAGTGTCAGCATCACCTCCAGTCTCTCTCTCTAAAACCTTCAAATCAGGCAAGAAATCTAGGGGTAATAATGGACTCAGACTTGAACTTTAACAGCCACATCAAATCAATAACATCTGCAGACTTTTATAATCTAAAAACATTGCAAAAATCAAAGGTTTACTGTCTAAATCAGACTTGGAGAAACTTACCCTTGCGTTTGTCTCCAGTAGGTTAGATACTATAATGTTGTGCTCACTGGTCTCTCCAAACGAGCTGTGAGACGCTGCAGAACATCCAGAACGCTGCAGCTCGGGTCCTTACTCAAACTAGGAAGTACGAGCACATAAGTCCTGTGCTCAGGTCTCTGCACTGGCTCCTGTGGCTCAGAAAATAGACTTTTAAAGCAGCTCTGCTTGTACAAGTGTCTCCATGGCCCGAGCACCAAAGTCCATCTGTGACATGTTAGTGTCATATGAACCATCTCACACTCTGAGGAGCTCAGGGACCGGCCTCCTGCTGGTGCCCAGAGTCACGACTAAACACGGGGAGTCAGCGTTTCAGGTTCATGCAGCTAAAACCTGGAACAGTCTGAACATGTGAGACAGGCCTCTTCTGTGATGCTGTTTAAATTCAGGCTCAAAACGGTTCTGTTTAACTGTGCATAAAACTGAAAGGTTTTTATTCTGCACTTTTCTCTCTAATTTATGTAATTAAAGTCTCTTAGCTCACACATCACAATGTAATATAATATAATAACAAAGAGCAAAAATATAAATGGTTGAAATAAATTCTAAATAAGTAGCAAAATATAGTAAGAGACAGGTGTCAAATAAGACATAATTATATAAATGTAAATATACAATAAAAATAAACTAGAAAGATAAGTAGTAAAATATAAAATCACAGCTTTATACAAGAGGTCATAGAAAGACAGTGCAACTATGACATGATTGACAGGACATAGGGTTAGGGTGAGTTGTTGTACAGTTGTAGGGAGTATTACCTGTTACATAAGGGTGGTCCAGAAATAGCATATAAAATTTTTATCAGCTGCGTACAATTTGCATTTAATTAAAAAGTGTTTATAAATCATATTCTTAGTATTGGCAAAACTCTGCTCTGGCCTGAAAAAGCAATTATAAACTTACTGCAGTGAATAATTAGGATTCTCAACATTTATAAAGGTAGGTGAGGAATGACTTTGGACCACTGTGAACTGTCTAAAAGGGTAGATTAAGTCATCACGGTTATAAATAATTTAATAACATTTCATAAAACACACATCAAATTTAACAGATCAGATTAAAGTAGTTACAATTATAAATGGAGCTAATTATTGGTTTCCATGACTTTGAAAATAACCTACAGTCCAAACATGGCCGCCGGGATTCATTATTCACAAATCTTCTCTAGTGTGATTATAATCTGTCCTGATGGTACAAGGAGCTACTTCTTGAAATGCAGCACCACCTTGTGTTAAGGAGGTCAATTATATTTCAGAGAGTTGTAGAAGTAAAGTTACATAAAGTTACATGACTAAAATTACTCTACAAAAGTACATACGTTTTATTTTCATCTTAATTTTAACAAAACACTTGTAGAACATGTATAGTTTATTGTGCCATTGTTTCCCGAATCAGAGCACATTAGTAGTATTAAAATTCTTTATTTGGTCAGTACATGTAGAGGACTTAAGTCAGAATAATATGAACATCGCATATAGCTACGCACAACTGAACAGAATTTTTTGAACATAGTTTTTCTCTGAATGTAAAATTCAAATGGCATTAAAAAAAAAAAAAAAAATCTGGTCAACAACGTCATCTGAAAATGGCCTTGCATTTATTGAACCTACTGTAATTCAAAACAGTTTGACAAGTTACAACAGATGATGCATGATCTGTGTCAAGAGCTCAAACAATAACAGGAGACGTGCGCAGAGAAACGTCAGAATCAAACTAGTTTAAATTAGACTTACTTCCACTCAAGTCAAATCGAACATGAACCCATTTTAAATATCACCGTTTAGCAACACAAACCTGACTGGCTCACAGTAGGCAGGGGAACAAGGGTGAGAACAAAACATGTTGGGACTTGTAGCCTTGTTTTGATAGTATAAAAGGTACATGATGAAGTGGATTACAAAAGCGAGGAGTCTCCAGTGCCCGAGTCCAGGCCGTTGTGGGCGTGTCTGGAGCCTGCAGTCCGGGTGGCCCGGCTCAGGGCCTTGTCCTCGTGGGGGTCGGTGGTGGAGTCTGTATCGTTGGAGTGTTGGGTCAGTGACGTCTCACTGCCTGTGGGAGAGTCCACGCTCTCGTAGCCCGCACTCAGCTGGGCCCTGGCTGCAGTCTGACCCCCTGCCTCCTCTGAGTGATTGGACAGTTTGCTCTCAGCTTCTCCGGGGCTGGACACGTTGGGGGACATGGGGAAGTCCTCCTCTGTGCTGCTCACCTCCCTGTACAGGCTGGGCGTGGTGGTCTCGCTCCTCTGTGAAGAGTTCCCGTTGCTTGGTCCGTTGGACACCCTGTAGTCTTTGCCCACAGGTTCATTGGGAGTACTGGGCTGCTCCGGAGCAACTGGCTCTTTGGAGGCACACAGTGAAGTCCTGCTGGGCCCAGCCGCGCTGCCCTGTGCCTGGGACAGTAGCTGTCGGCTCTCCTTGAGTTGCTGCTGCAGCACCAGGATGGTGCTCTGCATGCCCTCCACCTCCTCGTCCAGCTGGATGATGAAGTCGTTGAGCTCTGAGGACACAAAGCCGATACTTAAAAGTAAAGGCAAAGGTATTTAATATTAGTAAAAGAGGAGACTTCAGACTCACCATCCTGGCTGCTCTTGAGCTCCTCGCTGTACTTCTTCTGCAGGGCCAGCTCCGCCTCCAGCTGAGCGATGCGGCCCTGGGACAGCTGCCTCCCCAGCTCCTGGTTCTCCTGGATCAACATTCGACACTTGGCCATCAGCTTCTTCCCCGTTTGGCTGCAAGGGAAATAAAGCTCACATCACAGGGTGAAGCACACCGCACACAGAAGGCTCCCTCTCCTCAGAACACAATTACACCATTTACAAATCAACTTCCAGTACAATTTCAAAGACAATGTTAACCAGCAACACCCTGATGCTGCGTTACACACCGCTAAGATCCAGGAACACAGCTTAAGCACTTATACAAACTATTTTATCTGTATGTTCAAGTTCTCAGTTATTACAGGGACTATAAGTAAAACGCTCCGTAAACAACAACCTTTTGTCATTTTACCTTAACATTAAGTGGTTTCACAAGTAAAGATTAAAACCAGCCAGGAAAACAAAGCATGAACTAAAACTGAAGCACTATGTTCTATTTAGCACTAATAATAATAATAATAATAATAAATGAGATTTATGTAGCGCTTTTTTGGACACTCAAAGACGCCTAGTATCATTTCAGCAAAGCACTAGAAATAATAACATTAACTTTCAACATAGCAAAACAAAGACAAATATTTGCACTTTTTTTACACATAAACCAAGATGCGTTTAAGAGTGAGCAAACCTAAGAACACAACACTTCTGTTTTTGCTACATGAGCTAATGCTGCAGCCTCTGGAGGCCCCTGGTTACAGGAAAACACTCATGACAGTCACTTGGCCAAAGGGTTTTAAAAAGGCACAAAGTGATTTAAATAGGATTTGTCTTTCAGCCAGGAAGAGTGAACTGAAGTTTAACCAAGATGATATTCTAAAAACAATGCTAAAGTACACGTCATAAATGAAAGTGGAGGCCATAGTAACTTGAGAATTGTGGCTAATGTTTCCTAGTTGTGTTCTGTGCTGCGCTGTACACAACAGTGTGCTGCTTTAGTTAAGTAACAGCTGAGGGAGGAAATCAGGTCAATGACAAACACAGTGAAAGATACATTTGCAGACTTTACATGAACTTGTTAAACATGTGGATTCACAAGTAGAAAACAGGACTCTCCACACCTACAGCAGTGGGTTTTACATCATCAAATTAGGCCAAAGCACAACTTTGTTTTGAGACTCAAACTCTCCAAAACCAATGATAATGTTCAACACACTGCAATAAGTGTCTGTTTGAGAGAAACAAGAGAAAGAGCAAATGAAATGCAATCAAAAGAAAGTCACAAAATAAAACATGTAAATTGACTCTACCGTGAGCGGCCCCGAGACCCTCAGGTCTGAACCGGTCCTTTGTGGACCACAGTCTTAGCAGTTTCTACCGAGTCTTCCCCCCGAAGTCTTAGCTTTACTCCTAGAACTGTCCTCACGTTTAACACTAGAGTCTTTACAGCTGTGTGTGTGCTGTGATCCACAGTTACTGTCTTATTGTCTTTATTAGGCTCGGGGTGCCCCCTGCCTGCCCCCCCTCCACCTTACCCCCCTATAGTATGTGAATGTCACTTTGAGCTGCGGGGGCGGGGGGCGTGTCCGTCCAGAGACCACCTCTCTCTTCAGAACAGTGCACACTCCTTGGACTCGGCCGCTGAGGCGTACGTGGGAGAGCTGAAACACAATGTCACCTGACCATACTGTCTCTCACCGTACCGTATTATGTGATATGTAGCTGGACAATAGAAAAACATGGCGCTGCTGTCTCTGTGTAAAGTCTGAGTCTCGGTGAGTACAGCGCTCAGCCGTGCCCCTCACCATTGTCCTGCATGGCTGCAGTGAGTGAGAGTGGGGGCGTGACAACATCTTGGCTTTCTGAGGATGGGGTTATTTTGATTGTCTTTACCTATCAGGTGTAAATTTCCAGGCACTCAGTTCATTTTGGGCCTGCTCCAGTTTGTCTTTAGTCTGTTCCAGTTCAGTCTTCATTTTGAGGAAAACTAAGTTGATGGCAGGGTCCACCATGGCCGACCGCAGTTGGGCTGCACTGGGCTGCTGGACTTGCTTGAGGTACTGGATTTGAGTCTGTTGAAGAAATAAAGTGTTAGTGGTCAGAATGACTATGATAAAACCACATTTATACCGTCTGTAGACTTAAGTCATCTTTTGTGTAGGTCAAATGATCATACATGTTTACACACCACAGGTAAACAGTATGAAAATGAGCTTTGACACACAATGACAGCAGTGTCTGTGTGCGCGTGAGGTCCGGCTGTGTGTGGAAATCTGATGTTTTTCTTTGGCCTTCAGTGTGTTGACCTCAGACGCCCTCAGAATAACATGTGCACCATAATTCCAGAGGCTCTACTCTGCAGCGTCTTTGATAAGAACAGTGAACCCTTTGGCCTAAATAGTAGTGCAACACTAAAAAGCACTGATGCATAATGTTTTACATGAACAATGCATTATGCAAAGCTTGCTGTGTTTAGCATAGACTGCAAAAAGTCTGAACTAGCCATATGCAAATTTTGGATAAACACGTTTGACAAAGGTTGTCCACACAGAAACACACTAGAATCTCTGAGATAGATACATACTGTGCACTCCTGCATCTCCTGCTCCTTGGTGGCCAATCTCATGACCAGGATGTTCTCCCTCCGAGCAGACTCCTGCTGCTGCTGCTTCAGCTTCTCCTCTGACTCCTTCAGTCCGGGCACATCATTAGCTGAAGCAGGCCAGGGGTCAACAAAGCAGCACATCAGTACAGAATGACTAAATAAAAGGCAGTCAGAAAAGTGATGCATGAATAGAAGATACTTACAGCACAAATCTGCATATTTAGCCTCCAGTGCCTGGAGATAGGACTCATGTTGTTTCCATCTGACAGGAGGAAAAGAAAGACATTAATTGTACATCTAAAAACAGCTCATATTTCTTCACAGCTTGTGTAAGTACCTCGTACATAGTTCCTCTCTGGTCAGCGTCTTCATGTCGGATTCATTGAGGCGAACCTGGAAAAATAATAATCGATATTTAAACCACTTTGTAATGATTAATGAATAATCTTTGATATTCAGTATGTGCACGTACCTTCTTGGGCAGTGGCTCCTCGTTGGTCATGGTAGACCTTTAGAAGAGAAAAGGACACAGAAGTCAGACATGTGTTGTGCTTGTTCACTGCATCATGTTCAGCGGTGACGTGCGGACTCCACGTTGTTGGACAAACAAGACAAATCAACTCGGATAAATGAAAAGCCGTGCCAGTTTATCTCACGAATGCCATCTTAAATCAAATAACAGTGAGGAGTCAGTAATACGCCAGCCTCTTCCATAAAAACATGTGAACCTTCTGTTTCAATGGGCGCCGCTGAGCCTGTCCGCTGGTGTGGCGTGCAACAGCAGCTGCCACGACAGAACCGAGCCAACCGACAGTTTAAACCTCTTAATACCGCCTTAAAACAAACACTTTGAGCTAAACCACACGCCCTTTGCAGTACCAGATGGAATAAACGCTCTCCCCGGGTGCAAATGTTGTCAGTCCGCGGGTCTCGCCTCTGTTTTCTGCTTCTTGTTACCACAAAATGGCGGTGAAGGAAGCGACTCCCTCCCTCGCGCTCCTTCCCTGACCTAGCGCGCTCTTGGCTGCGGAGGACGGGCCCGCACGCTGCCCGGGCGCTTACCTGCTGCGTTAAATCGGGTGTTTCCAAAATCAAAAGGCGCGTATAGTTCCGTACAGGGTGTAAAGTCGCAGAAAAGGGGTCGATGGAGGGTAGATTCACGTATTGTAGCGTAGGCGCGGCTTGTTCCCGATCATGTTTCTGCGAAGCGCTGCGCTGCGGATCCGGGCAGAGAGCGCAGAGGGCGGACACACCACTCACTCTACTGGGGTCCCCCCGGAGACAAATTCATAACTTCGCCGCTTTTAATTTCTCTTCTATTTTAACCATATTACTGTTTTATGAAAATATATTAAAATTTTAGTTTGAATTAACAGATTAAAAAGCGGTTTTGCGTTTTCCGCTAATGACCATCTGTTCCACTAACAATCTTTACTACGTTGCTTTCACGCAGCTCAGCAACGTTCACGTGATTTTAAACTATTTTCAAATTTTAACACAATTTCTCCCTTATTTGTGCTTTAAATGTACTTAAAATACGACGTGTATTCAAATTCTGAAAATTTTGGCACATTTTTATTTTCTTTTAATATTTACGAATCAAACGCACTTACAAAACTCAGGGGGATTAAACTATAAAAAAATATACAATCAACAGTTATATTTTGAGACGTACATAATTACGCAAAAATTTTGTAAAAGTTTTTCATATTTTGAAAAGCAATGCATCATTAAAAAGACAAATGTGGATTCGTAAAATATGCAATAGGTTATTTAGCAGCTTGAACTCCCCTATGTATCCACATGGTACGGTCCCAGGCCACAGCCTACCATAAATAATAGAACGGTAGATGTCGCATTGACTACCGCGGTCTATTAGAACGAATAGGTCAACGAAGCTGCCATCTTGGTACAGGAGTAACGCGGCTTTAAATAAGGCGATATCAGTATTTACCACAGACCAAGTACCAGTTTCTCTCGCTCTCTCAAGTCCAAGATTAGTCCTGGTTCAGTCTTGGTTCAGTCCTGGTTTAGTCCTGGTTTACTCCTGGTTTCAGTCAGTCTGGGTTCAAAACACAACATTTACTATCATAGGCCTATAGAATAAAATCTTATGAAATGTTATGTCTTGCTCTTTTGTCTTCTTATGTTGCTCGTTTGGCATCTTCGCTCGCTGATATTGTACGGTGACCAGATTTTCTAAATAAAAAAAACTGTGACGTTCTCGGTTTGAGGTGGTTTGTAATAATAAAATTGTGAAATAAGTGCATAATTATGGAAAACATGAATCAGTATAGTCACATTTTCTTTATGTTTTGGTCATTTTTAAGCAGCTTTTCTGTGTTTTAAAATCAAAAATAGAAACATTTCTTGTATAAAACTGGACAAATAAGTAGTTTTGGATAAATCTGCTGGGACAGGGGACACAGGGCTCAAAACTGGGTCTGTCCCTGGTAAATAGCGGCGTCTGGTCACCAGTGTTGGGAAGGTGACTTTTAAAATGTATTCCCCTACAGATTACAGATTACATACCCCAAAATGTAGTTTTTGTAACGTAATCCATTAAATTACTTAAAGTGAGTAATGTAATCTGAATACTTTGGATTACTTGCTGTAGAGAAGCAAAGACGAGGATATCGTAACATAAGATGGTTTGTTTGCAAAAAGAAAATAAAAAGCCCAGACTTTACTTAACCAGATTAAAAATATTATTGATAGAAGACGGGGAGGAGACACTTTAATCCTGTTAAATCCTGATTTAGTCCTGGTTTTAGACCTGTTTTAGACCTGGTTTAGGCTTGGTTTAGACCTGGTTTAGACCGGGTTTTAGACCTGTTTTAGATCTAGTTTAGACCTGGTTTTAGTCCTGGTTTAGATCTAGTTTAGACCTGGTTTAAGTCCTGGTTTAGTCCTGGTTTAGACCTGTTTTTAGACCTGGTTTAGACCTGTTTTAGACCTGGTTTAGATCTAGTTTAGACCTGGTTTTAGTCCTGGTTTAGACCTGGTTTAGATCGAGTTTACATGTAGTTTAGACCTGGTTTTAGTCCTGGTTTAGTCCTGGTTTAGACCTGGTTTAGATCTGGTTTAGATCTAGTTTAGACCTGGTTTAGTTTCCGGCAATGAGTGGAATTACTTAAACTAAAAAAAAAAAAAAAAAAAAAAAGGGATATAGCCCAAAACGTGAAAACAGGAAAATCCCGCCGTGTAATCCATTTATTTCAACAAAGTAACTGTAATCCAATTACCACTCACTGAAACAGTAACTGTAACCGAATACAGTTACTCATAACTCACTCTGATTACGTAACTCTGGTACATGTAATCTGTTACTCCCCAACACAGCTCTGGTCACTTTATGATACTGTGAAAAACTTTACCTAAAACCAGGGAAGTCCAGTACCAAGATGGCGGCGGTATTGACGCATGACAGGAAGCTGAACGCGACATCTACGTCTCTGTATGTCCTGCACTCTTCAAGGGCAGCGAGCACAGTGTGGTTCAAGCTCCTGGGTTCTGCTGTGTTCCTGTCTGTCTCTGCTCTGTCCCTGGAGTTAGAATGAACATGCTTTGCAGATCATCTCAAATCCGCAGGTAAAACTAACCCGCATTCATCCACCACGCGAGAATCTTAATTATGGACTACAAAATGAGCATTAAGGACTACAAAATTAGCAGAATGGCTTGTGTCAGTGAACTTGGCACTGTTGTTGTGTAGCCTGGATGCTAACTCTGTGTCTATTCATTACCAAATCTGTGGCGCATGTCTTTAAATAAATAATATCGGTGTTTAATAACGTTTGCATGCTCAGTAAAGTTAGTTTTAACTTCGATCCAGACAAGGCAACGTGTATCTAATTGGCTTGCAACTTAGCCAAGGTGTTTGCTTCAAAGTTTAGCCTTATTTAATCACTATACAGGATAACATGGCTATATTTATTTAGTCTTGGAGTCAACGTGGACATGCTCAAAATTTGTGTGCAGATTTTCTAAATGTAGGAAGAAAAATGCTTGGCTGCTTGTTTTGGAGCATAGACACAATAAATATACTTTTATTTTTCTTTTTGTGTCTTGAAAACTTACTTAGACACTTAGAATTAGACTTAGACAAACTTTATTGGTGCACAAGGGAAATAATAATAATAAAAATAATAATTGGACACAGTAGCTCACACATGATAATATAATATAATAAAGAGTAAAAAAAAATATATAAATAGTAATAATAAATTCTGAATAAGTGGCAAGAGAAAGGTGTCAAATAAGGCATAATTATGTAAATGTATATGTACAAGTCAAATTAAAATGGAAAAATAAGTTTAAAAAATAATCTCAGCTATACAAGAGGTTATAATAAGACAGTGTATTGTTTTGGAGCATAGACACGATAAATATAATTTTATTTTTCTTTTTGTGTCTTGAAAACTTACTTAGACACTTAGAATTAGACTTAGACAAACTTTATTGGTGCACAAAAGTAATTATTTGGACACAGTAGCTCACACATGGCAATATATTATAATAAAAAAGCGTAAAAAAGATAAATAATAATAATAAATTCTGAAAAAGTACCAAAAATAGCAAGAGAAAAGTGTCAAATAAGGCATAATTGTGTAAATGTATATGTACAAGTCAAAATAAAATGGAAAAATCATTAAAAAAAAAAAAAATCTCAGCTATACAAGAGGTCATAATAAGACAGTGTATTGTTTTGGAGCATAGACGCAATAAATACACTTTTTTTTTTCTTTTTGTGTCTTGAAAACTTACTTAGACACTCAGAATTAGACTTGGACAAACTTTATTGGTGCACAAGGGAAATTATTTGGACACAGTAGTTCACACATGACAATATATTATAATAACAAAGCATAAAAAATATAAATAGTGATAATAAATTCTGAATAAGTAGCAAAATATCAAGAGAAAGGTGTCAAATAAGGCATAATTACGTAAATGTATATGTACAAGTGAAAATAAAACGGAAAAATAAGTTAAAACAAAAATTCAGAGGTCATGGGAAGAAAAAAAAATTGTTGACCATTTGATTATGTAAAACAATTGGGGTAGGACATTAGAATGTTTTAATTTTTTAATTTTTTTTAACTTCATCCTACTCCTTTTGACCCAAATATGTGCATGTACATATCTTGTTTTTGTTTTGTTTTTTGTTAGTGTTGTTGATTTTGTCTTGCCTTGCTCAAAAAATAAATAAATAAATAAAAAGAAAAGGAAAAAATTATATGATGATTGACAGGACATCGGGTTTTCAGTTTCATAAAGGTGAGTTGTTGTACAGCTGTATGGAGTACAACTTACGAATACATTGTTCTTAAATAAAAATAATAATAATAAGAAAGCTGAAAAAGAGCTGGAAATATAGTTCTCACTATCAGGAACCAGACAGACCTGCCTTATGCAACTAAAAGTATAAACACGGATTGTGACTGGGCATTTTCTCTCTGCTCTTTGTTTTGTCTCAGTGGGAAACACACTGGATGACGACTGGAATACAGAACAGACGCTCTTGTTTTTACTAAAACAGAAAGCTTTGTGTCTGTGCATTTTAGAGTGTCAACAGAATATAGTATTTGTTTATTGATAAGCTGCATTCTAGTGTAGTTTGGGAGTAAAAGAGCATTGCAAGTGGACAGCTTTTATACTGCATAAAAAAAACAACTAACATTTCAGATGACGTTAATTCCCAGTTTTTGCATTTTGTAGTATCATCATAATACGTTAAAACAAAATACGTCTATAGTTTGTACTGAAATTTAGGGCTCTAGTAATTTAGTTAATGATGTCTTTATTCAACCAAATTTAATCTTTCTTAACAAATTATTTTATTAAGCTCAAACAGGATTTATATAAACAGCAAATGAAAGGACACTGGGCAATTTAATCTGTTTTTCTACTAATGAAGATGCTGTTTACTTGTATTTCTCTGTGTACATAGTTGTTTTTGTACTAGATATTTTTTTAAAAATGTGATTTTTTTTTCCAGTCATGCCACATTCTCTTTTAATTAATTGATGCTCAGGATGTTTATTTGGTTCACAACAGGCCAACTGTAATGCCAAAAACAACAGTTTCTCTGTTTTAACTAACTCCAATAAACTGCTTTACCACTAAGGAAAGCTGGCATGTCACTTTTTGGCCACCAGATGTCGCCCAAACCTCTGAATAATCACCCTGTTTGACTCTTTGCTGCAGAAGTTTTAGAAAAGATGACGCAATGATGAAAACACACTTTCTCTGGACAATAGAATGTGATTTTCAACATTAAATCTTAGTACTTTCTTTTATATTAACATGTTCCAGGAAGGTTCCATAGTGGTCCAGGGGCGTATGGCTCAAGATCTATTTGGGACAGTTTTTAGTATTGGCAACAGATAACTTTTTTAGTTTTGATACCGGCTCAAATGAGTATCTAGTTTCAAATTTTCAATATTTTTGTGTCGATTAGTATCTGATTTTCAATACTTTTGACTACACTAATCACAGTCGTCGTTTTGCAAGTCTCGTGTAAGTCTCAAGTCTTTGACCTCAAGTCTGAGTCAAGTCCCAAGTCAAATACAGTCAAGTCCAAGTCGAGTCTTGACTCACTGGCCCATAAGTACAAGTCAAGTCCAAGTCATCTGCTTTGAGCTTCAAGTCATTTCAAGTCTTTTAACCAAAATACCAAATATAGCTTAGATTTTTGCAGTTTATATGAAATTTAAAGTAAGTTGTTCTTTAAAAAAATCATAATATATTTATATATGAGTATATAGTTGTAGAAATGCAAATTTTTCCTCTTTAAATGCTGTGACAAGATCTTAAAGTGAATCATTAAGGTCAGAATAAAAAGAATTCAGATTTAAAAGAGCTTCTCAAGTCAGAGGCCTCAACTCTAAGTCATATCCCAAGTCACTGACCTTTAAGTCCAAGGTCCGAGTCCCAAGTCTTAGTCCATTTGATAAAGTCCTAAAAATAGTGACTCAAGTCTGACTCGAGTCCAAGTCACGACTTGCAAGTCCCCCCCATGACACTAGTACAACTACATTTTACAAAACCAGTTATGACATAAATATCCACACTAGAGATGTAACAATAATCGAAATATCGTGATGTTGTATCGTCAAAGTTCTCTCAATAATATCGTGGACCATCACAATATATCGAATTACAAGTCTCTTCGATTAAATTAAGAGTTATGATGCAGCAATAGCTAAAAAAAAGACAGAGAGAACTACATAGACCATGATCCTTTGCTCCATTTCAGTGCAGACTACAAGAAGAAATAACAGTTCTAAACACTTTTTAGTCTTAGTTCTTTGGATTAAGTCTTGTCAAGGCATTTTAAGAGGAAAGAATATAGCACATTAACAGTTTTGTTCGCAGCCTCCACAAAATATCGCAATAAATATCGTACTGTGAGATGTATATCGTAAAAATATCGTATGGAGAGATTTGGATATTATTACATCCCTAATGGTGAGCCTCCCCACCATATCATGAGCTTTCACACGATATCGCAATAAATATCGTACTGTGAGGCTCATACTGTGACGATATCGTATCATGAGATTTGGATATCGTTGCACCCCTAATCGATACACCTCCAGTCACAAATCTGAACACACTTTCTCACTTTCTTCTTTGTATATCAAATGTAGAGAGGAGTAAACATACAGAAGACATCAAATATACGACGCAAGAATGTATGGAATTATGTGGCGAAAGAAAAAAAGTTGCATGACTCAACAAAATAGTTTTTTAAATTTTTTTTATTCAAATGCTCAAAGTCTCCACCCTTCGCTTTGCCATCAGCTCCTAAACTCTTGACCTTCTCTCATTGAGCTTCATGATGACGTCTTCTGAAATGGTTTTCAATTCACACGTGTCTCTTGTTGGGATCAAGAAATGCCAAGTCTCCAAAGCAAAGGGTGACAGTTTTGAAACGAGAAACAAGAGAAAACCCACACCAAAGTTCTTGTCGAGGTGCAAATGCAAGAAACAGCAATTTAAAAGTGAAAAAAATGCATAGCAGACACAAAACCTTTTTTATTTTTTACATTACGCTTCAGCAAAAAAGCCTTTGTCAGATAATTTTTCTTGCTTTGGACCACAGTTTTTAAACAACTAAAATCTGGAATAAGTTTTGAGTTTATCTTTTGTTTACTACATTCCTTAGTTTTGACACCATTAGTGAGAATCTAGAAGGTAAATAATCACGGAAATAAACAAACATAAAAAGAAAAAGCGTGCCCAAACCTCGACTGGTAGTGTAACAAAACTTTGCGCATTGATCGCACGTGACGTTTGTGTTGCAGATGTGCGGCGGTCGGGTTGAGTCACTCGCTGAGCCTGGCGAGCGCGTCCACTCCGTCCAGACACAAGCACACTCTGCCCGACCTCATGTACGACTACGGAGCTCTGGAGCCCCACATCAGCGCCGAGATCATGCAGCTCCACCACAGCAAGCACCACGCCACCTACGTCAACAACCTCAACGTCACCCAGGAGAAGTACCAGGAGGCTCTAGCGAAGGGTACGGAGATGTTAATACAATACTGACATCTCGTTTTAGGGTCATTCCACCTCAATTCACCCAAAAAAATTGCAGTTTGAACCCTCACATTGTCCAATTGCAAAGAAAATTGTTGTATAGATAAGTCATAGCCAAGAAAGCCAAAATCTTGATACCGCAATTTCATTTTTTCACTTTTTTGTGTGGTTGCTAAATTTCAAATTGACTTGCCTACATACCAAGTTTCATCAACATTTGACAAAGTAGGTTTAAGTCATTGGGTGACCTGAGGCGGACTGAACCTTTTATTTGGTCAACTGCTCTGTTCAAGGCTATTATTATAATTTCCAAAAACTAAACTTGCATTTTAGCCAAAGTGTTACTTCAAAGGTTAGTCTCATGTTTAACTTTGGCCTAGTTTAATCATTATACAGGATAAGATGGCTGTATTAATCATGGCGTCAACATGGACCTGCACAAATTAGTTAAAAAAATTACAAAGAAATATCCCGAGAAGATGCTTGTTTTGAGGCATAGATGCAATACATTTATATTTATTGTTAAAATGGTTTTAGATTTTACTTTTTGTGTCTTAAAAACAGACAAATACTTGGTTCTTAAATGAATAATTTAATTAAAAACTGGGCTTAAAATGTAGTGCTTCACGTTCCCAGGACCCAAGCAACCTGCCTTATGCAACTAAGAGTACAAACATTGATTGTGAAAGGGCTAGACTATTATTATAATTTGATATTTTCAAATAAAGAAACAAGGGCTTTTAGTTTAAGCAAACAAGGAAAATTCAAGCAAACAAGGAAAAATCTTGTTTGCTTAAACAACATTTGTAGTTTAAGCAAACAAGAATATAAAAAATAAAAACAAAACATTTATTCAGTTGTTTCTGTTGAACAAAATTCAGCACAAATCTTTATCAAAATCACAACATGTGAAGATTTATTAGATCTCAAAATATGCACATGCAATCTTCAAGTACTTTAATACTTTTAGAGTATGCCATGAAAAACATAGACTTATATATATTTTTTTTTACTCTAGTATCTAGCAGCACTTTTACTTAAGTAACAAAATTGAGTACTGGAATAAACTAGAACTCTTCTAGAAGTGAGACTGGGCAATTATTAGAATTTGAAATTCTAAAATTTCAAGGATATTTCCTCGAGGAAATGTATGTGGTTTGAAGCAGAGTTCAGATTCTGAAGAATCAAATCTGACACTTGTGTGTTTGTGTGTTAATAGCAGCAATTAGGTTCATATCATTTATTTACAAATAAGGAAACAAGGGTTCTCACACATCACAAATCTGGTTGTGACTAAATCTGTAAACACCTTAGGGTAAAATGGGACTAAACTAGCCATTACTTTTGTGTAAATGTTTAGTTCACTGCTCGTTTTTGTCTTGTGCAGGAGATGTTACAACACAGGTGGCCCTGCAGCCTGCGCTCAGGTTTAACGGAGGCGGCCACATTAACCACACGATTTTCTGGACTAACCTCTCGCCTAATGGAGGCGGAGAGCCTCAAGGTAACGCTGAGCTTTCACTTTTTGTTCAACTCCTCTGTTATCTCATGAGAACAGCCTTAACTGAACGCAGGTTTAGTGTCATGATAGTGGAAAAAGCTTGTTGTGCAATAAGCAGATTTCAGCAGCTTGGATAGATGCATCTTTACTGTTCTTTTGTGTGGTAAACTTTACAAAAATGCACAGGTTAAACCAAGTGAAGTGGACCATAACATATTACAATACAAGGGTAATATCTCCCAAAAGGATTTTTTTTTTTTAAGTATAGGGCTGTGAAAAGATCTCATTCCACAAGTTCTTGTGTGATAAAATGACCACAAGATTGTGCACACAAAAAAGGATTAATGTTGCTCTCTTGAGAAACTATAGTTCTAAAAAACAGTGTTACTATGAAAACAAAAATATATTAAATAGTAAAAAGGAAAAAAAGAAAAAAGAGATGAGGCCAAAATTTGAGACATTGAATTGCACAATAATTATGTTAATCTAATTTTGTCTCATTCTTGTGGAAACTGTGTCTCTTACCAACAGAAATTTGCTTTTTTAAAAGTATTAAAATGAGGTTTAAGTATCAGACAAATGTATAATGGCTGTATGGCAATATGGACGTTTTCTGCTTAAATTCATTATTCAACTTTTGCGTGTACAATCCCTCAGTCGTTCAAGTAGAATCCATGGCAAAGGAAAAGCCGCTATTCAACTTTTGCATATCTTCTGAACTACATGATATACTCCGTGATATCATCAATATTCCAGTACAAATCTATAAACTAGTCTGTAATCTCATGTCTGAAATCTTCACTTCCAGGTGAGCTGATGGAGGCCATTAAGCGCGACTTCGGCTCCTTCCAGAACATGAAGGACAAGATGTCTGCTGCCACAGTGGCCGTGCAGGGCTCCGGGTGGGGCTGGCTCGGCTTCGATAAAGAGAGCGGAAGACTGCGCATCGCCGCCTGTGCCAACCAGGACCCACTGCAGGGCACCACCGGTAACGTAAAACCACACGAGCTTTGAAAAGGGATTCAGCCAGTGACCTCAAACTGTGAATATGGTACCACAGGAGTCCGACTTTAGGCAGTTTGTCGACCATTTTAATCATATTTTAATACAATTTAATTTACTCCCATTCATTTAATTTAGATTTAATTTTGCTCTGCTTGTCTGGAGGTGTTATTGCTTTGACTAGGATGATTCACAGCAGGTCAGATGTAGAGAAACGACCCCATTCGCCGTAAGAATTTGTGTTTTTCCAAGATATTTTTAAGCAACACAAACAATTCTAATTGATTTAAATACAACATGAGACAAGCTTGAAGCCGTACTGTGATAATATCTCGATGGAGACAAGCGGGAGGTGAACTTTCACTAGAAAAATGCGCAGTCTGAGTTTGTACTATAAACTGTATAAAGAAGAAGTGGATTAAGGGAGTGTGACGTCACCCATAACGTTCAGTGCCAGTCAGTTATAGGAGTGAATTTAGTGCAGAGTTCCATATTAGGAGAAGGAATTTATAAATAGGGAAATAAAAACAACAGAATCATGTAGAGTGGGTTAATATGAACATTTTAAGACTAAAGTGACGAGGCTCACAGAGGCACTTACAATTTTTCAATGTAAAATCGATGTCGATGGAGCCAGAAGCGACACCATTTTTTATTTTTATTTATTTATTTTTGTCAAACCCGAGGAGATCAGACTTTACACTCAACCAAACATCACTCACACATCACATCCATACCCACTCCTACTCAATACAGATCCATGAGAATAGTCTTCTTCTTCGTCTTCGTCTTTTTCATTGTCCTCGTCTTTGTCTTCTTCATCTTCTTCATCGTCTTTGTTTTCTTCTTCGTCGTCTTCGTCTTCTTCATCATCTTCGTCTTTGTCGTTGTCTTTGTCATCTTCGTCGTCATCTTCGTGTTCGTTGTCTTCGTCGTCTTCGTCTTCATCGTCGTTGTCTTTGTCTTCTTCTTTGTCTTCCTGGTCTTCATGGTCTTCGTCTTCTTCTTTGTCTTCAACGTCTTCGTCGTCATTGTCGTCTTCGTCGTCTTTGTCATCTTCGTCGTCTTCGTCATTTTCTTCGTCCTCTTCGTCGTCTTCCTGGTCTTCGTCTTCTTCTTTGTCTTCATGGTCTTCGTCTTCTTCTTTGTCTTCATGGTCTTCGTCTTCTTCTTTGTCTTCATGGTCTTCGTCTTCTTTGTCTTCAACATCTTCGTCGTCTTTGTCTTCATCGTCGTTGTCTTTGTCTTCTTCTTTGTCTTCCTGGTCTTCATGGTCTTCGTCTTCTTCTTTGTCTTCAACGTCTTCATCGTCATTGTCATCTTCGTCGTCTTCGTCATTTTCTTCGTCCTCTTCATCGTCTTCCTGGTCTTCATGGTCTTCGTCTTCTTCTTTGTCTTCAACGTCTTCGTCGTCTTTGTCTTCGTCGTCTTTGTCATCTTCGTCGTCTTTGTCATCTTCGTCGTCTTTGTCATCTTCGTCGTCTTTGTCATTTTCTTTGTCTTCTTCTTTGTCTTCCTGGTCTTCATGGTCTTCGTCTTCTTCTTTGTCTTCAACATCTTCGTTGTCTTTGTCTTCGTCGTCTTTGTCTTCGTCGTCTTCGTCGTCTTTGTCATTTTCTTCGTCTTCTTCTTCGTCATTGTCGTTTTCGTCTTCTTCCAAAGAAACATAATAACAAGAACATAAAAAGCACAATTTAAAAAACTAAAAACGGTATAAGCGGCTCAACAAAGGGCTCAAACCATATTAAAATAAAGAACACAAAAAATAAACAATAAAAATAATGATGATTATTATGACTATATCCCTAACACCAGTGAGCAAATATTCCATTTCCTATTACACTCCAATAATTTGTTATTCTCCATGGCAATAAGTTTTTCTAGGTTGTACTGATTGTGAATTATGTTTTGAAAGTTTCCTAAACATAAACACAAAAATAAAAAGCTTTCCTAGCAAAATAATTGTATTCAGAAAAGATGTGAATTTCCTCTCAAAAAATGATGTTCCTGGGGGAAATTTTTAAAGAAATTCTCATTGATTGTACCAAAGATCGAACAGAAATCCCAAACTTGGCAGCATTTTGTGGATTAAAAATGCATTTAAATTTGTTTCTGTACTGAACTGATTAAATCTTGGTTACAAAACATTTCCGAACCCATTCACCTCCCATAGTGACTTCTGCTCCCTCTTGCTCCCAGGTCTGATCCCTCTCCTGGGCATCGACGTCTGGGAGCACGCCTATTACCTCCAGTACAAGAACGTGCGCCCGGACTACGTGAAGGCCATCTGGAACGTCATCAGCTGGGAGAACGTCAGCGACAGGCTCAAGGACGCCAAAAAGTAGACTCTATCCCGACGACGCACCGGGAATATCAAGTAATCATTTGTACTCTGCAAAACTGTCAACACAAAACAAAGCCTATTACATAAACCATTCAAAACACCCAATCCTGTGAATATAAATCAATGTGGAAGTTATTTGTGATTGATACTTTGCGGTGAAATCACTCTGGGGGAATAAGCAAACTGAACTTTTTTATATCGTCTGAAAACTCAAACCACAAAATGGATTTAAACACATTTTCAGGAGCTTGTAATCAGTAAAAATCCTGTTTAAGTGTTTGATTTTCAACAAAAACGTGAGATTGACAAACTGGAAAACTGCCAACTCGCTTGTGACAGTAATTTTACGCACAAATAATCTCACACGTCAGCTATTTCTCGTCAAATTGTGTTAAAATAAAGCTCAGATTAAAGCCTAACTTGAGTAACAGAGCTTCAGACCCCATGATTAATGATTTTCGCTGCAAAGTATCAATGGCTTTTCACCATTGGTCCGTTCTATCCAAATATGAATGAAGCGCACAAAAACTACAACTACTTTTTCGTCAATGTTTTTCAATCAGTTTACGTCGGGCTAAAAGTGTTCCTACATATACAGAGAGAGCTGTGAAAAATTCTATGTGGTGTTTTTGATGTAATATAATAAAAGAGGATTTATATTGAACAAAGTGGTGTTGTCTTTATTAAGAAATATTTAAAGTACTTGATGAAAGTAGTAGTATTTTGCACTTATACACCAACTAACATGGAGACACCTAGAAACTTGTCGACAATTTTTGACTTGAACAGAGTCTGGTCAATATAATTTCATATTTTGACCACACTTCATGATTTTTTTTGTGGGTTTTAAATGCATAAACTTTTCATTCCTAAAATCCCAAATGGCTTTCTCAAATCCCAAAGTCTCTCCTCTCACTTTTGGTGCTGAGCTTAGCTATTTTTTTTCCAATTCCAATATTGGGGTTTCCAACTAGACTGTAAACCCAAATGCTCTAATTAAAACAATAAAAAAAATAAGTAAATAAAAAAAAAAAAGATTCCTGAATAATAAAAAAAATTACATTACATTAACTATAATTTTGATTTTATTTTATTTTATAAATTTTATTTATTTATTTATTTATTTTTAGATGCAATAATCTGAATTTCTGCACATTACTTTTATTTATTTTTTTCATTCGGGAACAATGACCAGAAGCTTTTTCACATGATCTGGACACTTAAATTCTACATTTATCTTGATCAATAATAATAACTACGCATAATAAAATATTTTAAGGAATGTAAAATCATTGTTTTTAATTATATACTAACTATTACTAATTAAAGATTTTGTGTGATAATTTTTTTTTAAATTTGCATTAATTAAATACAATAAGACTATAAAGGCAAACATGTACCTCAAATTTTTTTTACTTACTTACCTACTGCTTAATTGTTTGGGTTTACAGTGCGCCAGTATTTGCAAATAAATTGTGATCTTCCTGTCAACAAGAGTCCATATTACACTATTTTCTGATCTGTTATAATGTTGTTTCCTCATCACAGGTAGAGGGCTTCATAAAAAAGTTAAAAAAATAGCGGCACAGATGCTTTATGAGGGTTAAACTTAACAGTAATCTTAACAGAAAGTTATCCTTACTGAAAAGTGTAAAAGTGGGCAAGGTACAAACCCGAGACACTCCGACTGAATATATTAAAAGTCCTTTATGTAGGACTTTTAATATATTCAGTTGAAGTGCCTTGGGTTTGTACTTTGCCCACTTTTACATTTTTCATTGTAACTTTCTGTTAAGACACTTGGAGTTGTGTTTAGTTTCATTCACACAAGTTTAACACACAAACCCTGCAGATTTAGGCTGAGTTCGTGATGTCATGTGGTAAAACAGGAAGTTCTGCACTGCATTTTTAAACTCCTACACTTTCACTAGAATCACTTGACAATTCCAGAACTGAAATTACCCAATCTGTACTTGAACAAAAGATAAAACGGGCTGTTAACTTAAAAACTACTCCACGACATCACAAGTTGTAACAGAGCATTTTTAGCTTTGGAGATGTAAACAGACTGATAATAAAGAGTTACTCAAACTTTGAGATTTTATTTTGCACCTAAACGGGAATATTAATCAACAAATACACAATACTGTCGAGCTGCTTTGTTATTTTTCATTAGTTATTTAAGAATTGAGTCAATATTTAGTCTTCTCTATGAATATTTGTCAGCTTATATTTGTCCAACGTTTTACAATATGCTTATAGAAACTGCAAGTAGTTTTTGCCAACCCCAGAAAATGTTTAAAGTTATTTTAAGTGCAACATACATTTTTAAATTCTTAGTACTGTAAATATTTAATGTGCAGTAAATTGGATTAAATTATTTCCTATTGTGACCAGAAGGTGGCACTGTCGCTTTACAAAACATCTAGTTGCCTCTTCGTGGGTTTCAGCTTCTTCTTACGTGCAACATTTTCCCATTCAGAGTAGATAATTTGTTTTAAATTGTTAATCGCTATGGTAACAATACTTTTTTTTTTTTTTTTCGTTCCGAGTCCCATGAATACATTACATTGCTATTAGATCTTTTCAAGACGTTCGATCTCACCAGATATTTATGCAACTTTTTGGTTTGGGATCCATCACTTTCTTGTTTCTATGGATACGTCATTGCTCTGTCTGGAATGTTCCACACTATGGCATTAAACAACTCTGTATTTATTGAATTACAGGTGGTTTATAGCGCAAAAAATACCTAGAAAAAACAGACATTCTGACTCGTCTCTCCACAGATCTGAGCTGTAACTCGGTCTGGTTTGGTTTCCATGAAGACAGAAAGGTTTAATGCCACACTGTGAAACATTCCAGACAAAGCAATAGCATCTCCATGTAGAAAAGCATTCAGTAATGGAAAAAGAAATGGAAATACTTTTATATCTGACCCCAGAAGTATAACTATCTTAAATGTGACCTACTTAAGCTCAGTTAAAGTTATGGGGAGTACAAAAATGACTTCCCTCGCTCTTCCACAAGTCATAAAACACTCTTACAAAGATGGAAGTAGCTCATATTGCAGCGTCTCGAGCCCTGGGCAGACGCACAGGAAAATTCTACATTTTTCTATTTCTGTCCCACTCCTCTTCCTCATCGCCGTCATTAAAATGTGTTAAACTCTGAGCTCATGCAAAATTACGCTGACAATTACAGACCAACTTTCTTTCTGTGCTGACAGGAAAATAATTAGGCCAGTTTTCTGTTTTTCAGGGTTTTGATCAAGTTAATTTAAGTTCCAAATACACGAGGGTTAAAGGTGCACAGTAACTTCTAAGGTAGAGGGTTCAACACCAACTCAGTTTCTTTGCCTGGAATGTTTCGCAGTATGTTTTTTTTTTTTTTGTGTTTGTTTGTTTTTTTGGTGAAAAACTGAAAAACACTTGCCTGGTGCCGTCACCTTTTCTCCATGGGGATAGACCAGTTTTTAAAGGTGTTATATCTGATTTAAAAGCATTAAAAAAAAAAAAAAACTTGCCGTCGATTTGAGCTCCAGAGGCAGAAATGGAGTACCAAATAACATTTTAAAAGTGTTTTGGTTTTATTGTATGTTTTAACCAGTTAAGCATGTAAACAATGACATGTGCGTGTTAGATTTGCGACAGAATACTTACATTAGATGATTGAATAGTTTGAATTTAATATTAGATTTTTAAAATCATTTTCATTACATTGTATTTTAATTATTTAATTAATCATTGCGCCTTTCAAGATACCCAAAGCTCTTTACAGTTCATTATTATTTATTATTATTTTTATTATTTATTTATTTATTTCATTCATAAAGCATAAAAAGACATCTACAGTGTCACAACATCAAACACACAAGAAATGAATGAAAAGGAGCAGAAAGAAGAAAAAATCTTATGTTATCTGCCCCCCTTTCCTTTTTCAAGACAAAACATCAACACTGATCGTCACTAAAACATTCCATATCAGTTCAGGCACAATTACTGATCAATTGCAAACAGTAAATCTTATTATTATTCATTCACTCCAAACTCAGTTGTGGCACACTACTACTGTAGCCACAGCTGCCCTGGGACAGACTGACGGAAGTGAGGCCGCCAATCTCCTCCATCGACCCCTCCGACCACCATCAACACACACACACACACACACACACACACACACACACACACACACACTACACACACACACACACACACACACACACACACACACACACACACACACACACACACACACACACACACACACACCACTTTCATACTATTCAATATAGGTGAATGTTTTTTTGTGACTGGCGCCCCACTGTGGCACCTGATTTTCCCAGACGTCTCTCATTCAAATACTAACCAGGCCTGGCCCTGCTGAGCTTCTGAGACCTGAGGGGATCAGGCTTTGACAAGTCAGTATGGCCACTCATTTTCCATGTGTAGAAAACGTAACTTTGTTTAGAAAGACACTGTATAAATAAAGTATCACGATATTATAAAAGGTCAGTTTATTTTCTCTCTATGTAGTAAAAATGTGTCTTTAAATCATTCTAACTCTCCATAGTCACAACTGAACCTGTGTCACCAGAGATTTAACCTGTAGAGAGAGACTGTACCTAAAGAACAGTACTTTACTACTTTTACTTTGCTGCGTTCCACCTCTGATTTTAAGTTACCATAGGGTGACCAGATGTCCCTGTTTACCCTGGACAGTCCCAGTTCTGTGCCCCCTGTCCCAAAACCAGCGATTTGTCCCAGTTTTGTACAAGAAATGTCTCAAGTGTCCCTATTTTTGACCAATTTGATTAAAACCAGGACTAAACTAAGACTAAACCAGAACTACAATAGGTCTAAACCAGGACTAAAACAAAACAAAAAAGAGTAAAAAGGAGCATAAATTGTCTTTTTTTTTGCCAAAATACAGATAACCGTATATTCACGACTGGTCTTGGTCTTGAGACTGGCCTCGAGACGATTTTTTTGCGGTCTTGGTCTCATCTCGGATGCAACCGGGTTTGGACTCGGTCTTGAAGGAGCTTGGACTTGGTCTTTTCTCGGTCTCGAAGGTGTTTGGACTCAGTCTTGTCTTGGTTTTGAAGGCGCTTGGACTCGGTCTCGTCACTGCCATGAAGGCACCTGGACTCGGTCTTGTCTCGGTCTCTAAGGCTTTTGGACTCAGTCTTGTCTTAGTCTTGAGGTCTAATACTTGAGGAGTGATAAGATGGAGACAGATTTCTAAAAAAAACATTGATATATTTTTGCCAAAATAACTGTAAAAGTACAAATAAATGTCGAAAATTACAAAGATGGCCTCGATTTGGTCTGGGTCTTGTCTCGGTCTCGATCCTCAAAGGTCTTGCTCTTGTCTTGAGCTCGGGACCCTGTGGTCTTGGACAAGTCTTGGTCTCGATTAGTGCGGTCTTGACTACAACGACACTACAAATGACGATAAAGCGCAAAAATGCAGCAGTAGAAGATTATGACTGACACGAGATGTCCTGAGCTCATGGGGACACAATTGTTGTTGTCTGTCTGCGCTTGGACAAGTCTTGGTCTCGATTACCTGAACGAACAAACAAACTTACTCTGATAACAAAAGTAGATGTCTAGCTATGAAATACAACGACATACTAACACAATGAAAAGATACTTCTTGTAAT